TCTCAGGAGGGAGCCCTCTCCTTTACCCTGATACAACATTTAAAAGACAGAACAAGAAAGCATTCAGCCCTAATGATAGGAGGTTACCTATGCGGTATGAGTTCAGAGTTCAGAGAATGGAAACGGAATTTTCCCTCGACTTTCACTTTGTGGGTAAATCACCCAATTTTAGGCTCTTTTCTGCAAGGATGGCCAAAATTAATCTTTTTTTTTTTTCCAGGAGAATGACTCAGTTTATTATCTCAATTTGACCCTATCTATACCACTTTAGGCTCAAACACTGTACAGAGCTGCCATGCCTAACCTCATAATAATCGCATCCCTGGAAGGTGAACAGGGTAAACCACAAAGTCAGAAACATTGGGGAAAGCCACGGTCGCACGCACATCTCTCAAGGAAACAAACTACAAGAAAGGGCTCAGTCACTGTACACAGCAAGTGTGCAGTGGGCAAAGTTCTGTTCTTTTGACAGTAGCCAAATGCTTAAGTCCCTGGTTTCTTGGGATCAATCATGGCCCAAGGTTAGTAAGAAGGCCAACAATGTTGTGAGCAGGATTCAATTTCTACAGGGTCATGGGGCATCATCCACCATGTGAAGGGGCTCCAGCAGGTTGGACATGATCAATACCCATCCAGATTAGGATCCTGATGCCCTTGCCAGAGCTCGGGCTCGGGCAGCTTTGGCCTCGTCTTCTAGCTCATCTAGGAAACGCTCCTGGGAAATCGAGTAGAAGGTGTAACCATAAATAGCTAACACCAGGGCCCCGATGCCTAGGCCGGTCACGATGTTCCGGGTCTGCCGCTGCGGTAGGACCCTCTGCCACTGGGCAAGCTGCGCCCGCCGCATGGAATACAGTTGCTCGGGTGTCAGCTTCTCCCGCGTCGGGTCGACACGCTGAGCGAAAGGGGCCTCTCCACGCTTAGCATCCAGAGGGTCACCAGCTCCCGAAGCCGCCATGTTGCCGCTCCTCTCTTCGCGTTGCCCAATCATTTTAAAAAAGTAGATTCATGCCCACTGCCCTTGGGTGAGGGGGAAGGATACGGGGGTTCCCAGAAGCCCCCATGTGATCCAAGGGTTTGTATTTTTTTTAAGTTTGTTCATATTTGTATGTATATACCTATTTAAAGCCAGGGGATTATCTTTCTATAAATGTATAACTGGCAAAAAAAAAAAATCAAGAGCTGGCCGGGCGTGGTGGCTCATGCCTATAATCCCAGCACTTTGGGAGGCCGAGGCAGGCAGATCTAGAGGTCAGGAGATCGAGACCATCCTGGCTAACACGGTGAAACCCTGTCTCTACTAAAAATACAAAAAATTATCCAGGCGTGGTGGCGGGCGCCTGTAATCCCAGCTACTCGGGAGGCTGAGGCAGGAGAATGGCATGAATCTGGGAGATGGAGCTTGCAGTGAGCTGAGATCACGCCACTGCACTCCAGCCTGGACAACACAGCGAGACTCCGTCTCAAAAAAAAAAAAATAGTCAGGAGCATTGTTGAGTCTCAAAATATCTAATCTTGCTTCATCTAGTAAATTTGCTTTTATTTTCTGTTGCTTCTAGACCAAGAGCAGTGATGACCTTTTAGCTGGAATGGCCAGAGGGGTAACAGTGACTAATGGTGTTAAAGGAAAGAAAAGCACCTGCCCATCTGTGGCATCTTCAGCATCTGCCCCTGCCGTGACCACCGTGGAGAACAAATCCAAGATTAGCACAGGTATGGGTGACACTCAGTCTGAGACTTCAACTGCGTTTTTGTTGGAATAGGCAGGATGCATTGGTGTTTACAGTGTTCCATCTCATTACAGGAAATTTTCGACATACAAAAGTAGATGGATTGATATTTCAGCCCAATACGCTCATCACACTCATCACCATTATCAACTCACAGCCAGTTGTAACTCCCTGATACCCACCCTCCCCTCTTATTATTCTGAAGCAGATTCCAGACATCATATCATTTCATCCATAAATATTTTATTATCTTGGAAAGAGGATTCTCCTTTTTTTTTTTTTTTTTTTTTTTTTGAGACGGAGTCTTGCTCTGTCACCCAGGCTGGAGCGCAGTGGCCGGATCTCAGCTCACTGCAAGCTCCGCCTCCCGGGTTTACGCCATTCTCCTGCCTCAGCCTCCCGAGTAGCTGGGACTACAGGCGCCCGCCACCGTGCCCGGCTAGTTTTTTGTATTTTTAGTAGAGACGGGGTTTCACCGTGTTAGCCAGGATGGTCTCGATCTCCTGACCTCGTGATCCGCCCGCCTCGGCCTCCCAAAGTGCTGGGATTACAGGCTTGAGCCACCGTGCCCGGCCGAGAAAGATTCTTTTAAAAATATAATCATAATACCATTATCAGTCCTTAAAATAATTGATAATCATTCCTTAAATCATACCTTATTCAATGAGTATTTAAATTTCCAACAATCTTATAAATATTTCTGTTTTGTTTACTGTCTATTTTTATGTTTGGATCAGGACTCACATAAATCCATATATAATTGGCTGATGCGTCTCTTAAATCTTTTTTAAATCTATAGGTTTAACCTGATTCTTGCAGTTTAATTTTTGTGGAAGCTGGTCAAATGACCTATAGAGTTTCTGAGAATCTGGATTTTTATATCACAATATCCCCATTATGTTTTTGCCCAACACCCTTTATTGTCTCTATTTATTGTATATGGCATTGGAGTCTTATGGGACAGATTCAGGTCCCCTGTCCCCCCATTTGGAAAAAAAAACAACCAAAACACCACGTTGGCTAGGCTGGTGTCGAACTTCTGACCTCAGGTGATCTGCCTGCCTCGGCCTCCCAAAGTGCTGGGATTACAGGCACGAGCTATCGCATCATTTAAATGTACTGAGAGGCTGGGCACGGTGGTTCAGAGCTGTAAGCCTAGTACTTTGAGAGGACAAGGCAGGCAGATCACCTGAGGTCAGGAGTTCAAGACCAGCCTGGCCAACATGGTGAAACCTTGTCTCTACAAAAAAAAAAAAAAAAAAAAAAAAAAAAAAAGAAAGAAAGAAAAAATTAGCCCTGTGTAGTGGCGTGCGGCTCTGGTCCCAGTTACTCGAGAGGCTGAGGCATGAGAATCGTCTGAACCCCGGAGGCATAGGCTGCAGTGAGTTGAGATGGCACCACTGCACTCCAGCCTGGGCGACAGAGCAAGACCCTGTCTCTAAATAAATAAACTTTGCCGGTAATCCCAGCACTTTGCGAGGCTGAGGCGGGTGGATCACCCAAAGTCAGGAGTTCGAGACCAGCCTGACTACTATGACGAAACCCTGTCTCTACTAAATATACAAAAATTAACTGGGCATTGTGGCATGTGCCTAGTCCCAGCTACTCTGGAGGCTGAGACAGGAGAATTGCTTGAACCAGGAGGTGGAGGGTGCAGTGAGCTGAGATTGAGCCACTGCACTTCAGCCTGGGCGACAGAGTGAGACTCCATCTCAAAAAAATTAAATAAAATAAAAAATAAAAATAAATAAATGTAGTAAGGTTGCAGAGTTGTGCAGTGGAAGCGTGCTGGTTCTATCCATGTAGTGAAGGCAGATTTCATCCACAAATCTCACAAGAACTTTTAGCCCCAGTTGCCTTCCAAAGAAGCAGTACATGGACTGACACATGGGCTGTCCCAAACAGCTCTGGAAAGAAAAACAGAAAACAGAAAATGACACGCTCAGCCCTTGAGGCCCAAATGCCCTTCCCCAGAGCAGCTGCCAGAAGACAGGAAGCAGGATCGGGTTGGGGGTCACTTCTGGGTGAGGGGGAGAACGGTCAGACCCGGGGCAGGGGTGTTGGAGCCTGTCGGCCTCACTGGAACAGAAGAGAGCTGCTTCGTGATGCTCAGCTGACTGGCAGAGCCTTGTATAACCCAAGTTCTCACGGTACAGAGAGGCCAGCCAGTGTGGGGACAAAGACAGGCATGCACAGAAATGGTTTCCTGGAAGACAGCCCAGTTGCATCTCTCAAATGGGACCAGATCGGAAGGGAGACCAGCTGCTTTGGGCAACCGAGGTTGCTTCTGGGCGAGCTCCCAAACTAGATGGTGCCGAGGGCCCTGGACCTGGCAGCTGGACTGGACATCACATGACCCTGTCTTCCAGGAAACGGCATCTTAGCGCTTGTCTGGCCAGTTCTCCAAAAGAATCATCCACAGGCCATTTCTCCATTCCCCTCCTATGCACAGACTGGGCGGGGCCTGACCAGAAACTCTCCCTTAGGGTTTTGAGTCACTGCCAAAACTTGAGCCCAGCGGTGAGGATGTGATGTTAAAATGTGACTCTGGGTCAGGCGGTGGCTCATGCTTGTCCACCCAGTGCTTTTGGGAGGCTGAGCTGGGAGAATCACTTGAGGTCAGCAGTTCAAGACCAACCTGAGGAACATAGATCTCTACAAAAAAATTAAAATAAAAATTAGCCAGCTCTGGTGACATGTACCTGTAGTCCCAGCTACTCGAAAGGCTGAAGTGGCTTAAGCCCATGAGTTCAAAGCTACAGCTATGATGGTGTCACTGCACTCCAGCATGAAAAACAGCGTGACACCATGTCTTGAAAAAAGGAACAAACTAGGCATAGAAGAAACATACCTGAAAATGGCCAGGCCCAGTGGCTCACGCGTGTAATCCCAGCACTTTGGGAGGCTGGGGTGGGTGGATCACCTGAGGTCAGGAGTTCGAGACCAGCGTGACCAACATGGTGAAACCCCATCTCTACCAAAAGTACAAAAATTAGCCGGGCGGGGTGGCAAGCGCCTCCCAGCTACTCGGGAGGCTGAGGCAGGAGAATCGCTTGAACCCGGGAGGTGGAGGTTGCTGTGAGCCAAGGTTGCACCATTGCACTACAGCCTGGGTGACACGAGCCAGAATCCGTCTATAAAAAAAACAAAACAAAACAAAACAAAAACCTAGAAATAATAAAAGCTGTATATGACAAAGCCATAGCTAACCTACTACAGGATGGGGAAAAGTTAAAAGCATTTCCTGTGTAAACAGTAACAAGAGGAGGATGCCCGTTCTCACCACTTTTATTTGAAATCACACAATCACGCAGGAGAGAAAAATAAAAGCCACCCACATTGGAAAAGAGGACATCAAATTATCCTTGTCTGATGAAGATGTGATCTTGGATTTAGAAACACGTAAAGTCTCCACCAGAAAACTCTAGACTTGATAAATAAATTAATACACTCATTTGCAGGATACAAAATCAACATACAAAAATCAGCAGCATTTTATACACCAATAATGGTCCAGTTGGGAAAGAAATTAAGAAGGCAATCCCATGTACAACAGCAACAAAATGAAAACGATACGCCGCAGAAAAAGTTTTACCAAGGAGGTGAAAGATTTCTACAAGGAAAACTAGAAAACACTGATGAAAATGTTTAAGAGGAGAGAAAGAAATGGACAATCATTTCATGCCCACAGAAGGAATTCATAGCATTAAAATGACCACACTGCCCAAAGCAGTCTAGAGATTCAATACAACCTCTACCAAAATACCAACATCATCACTCACAGAACTGGAAAATCATAAAACTCATATGAAACCAAAAAAGAGCTCAAAGAACCAAAGTCATCCTCACCAAAAACAACAAAACTAAAGGCATCCCATTTCACTGCAAATTAGAATGACAAAATTTTTGACAAGTGCGTGCTAACCAAAACAGCACGGTCCTAGCATAAAACTAGACACATAGATCAATGGCACAGATAAGAGAGCCCAGAAAGACAGCCACAAAGTCTTGGGACTTGTGTCTCTCCTGCTGTACATCCAGGCTGGGTGCTTTATGTACAACAGGCAGACGAGAAGTCCCTGTTGCAAGTGAGGACAAAGTGTGGGAAGGCCGTGAGGGTCTGCAGTCCCAGAGGGCCTTAGCCTCATCCCACAGTGCACTGTTGCACCGGAGTGCCACCTCCTTCTCGAGGTCCAGGTCTTCAACAGTGACCCGGACCCCAGCTGTAAGGCAGGTGGCAGCATCAGAGGCTCCCCTTGCCTGAGCGGCAGCAGGGGAAACTTGTGTCTACGGGGCCTAGAGGCCTGGGATGTCAGGGAGCCATTCCTGGGGGCAAGTGTCTGCCCTGGTGCTGCATCTGCTACCTTTTCACACTGGGCGAGACCCCAAGAGACAGCCTGAGGCCGGTCCTCACTCACCGTCTTTGAGGACTTGAGGGGCAGCCAACAGTGGGATGAGGCTGGCCCTCTCCTCCTCTTTAGTGACGGGAAGCCTTCTGGGGAGCTGTAGGAGCTCAAGATGGCATTTCGTTTGGGGCATGAGCTCATCCAGGAGGACTGAGATCTCTGGGTATATCCCAGACTTCTTTTTTTTTTTTTGAGACGGAGTCTCGCTCTGTTGCCCAGGCTGGAGTGCAGTGGCCAGATCTCAGCTCACTGCAAGCTCCGCCTCCCGGGTTCACGCCATTCTCCTGCCTCAGCCTCCCAAGTAACTGGGACTACAGGCGCCCGCCACCTCGCCCGGCTAGTTTTTTGAATTTTTTAGTAGAGACGGGGTTTCACCGTGTTAACCAGGATGGTCTCGATCTCCTGACCTCGTGATCCACCCGTCTCGGCCTCCCAAAGTGCTGGGATTACAGGCTTGAGCCACCGCGCCCGGCCTATCCCAGACTTCTGACATCTGGGCATGGAGGTCTCTCTGCAGAGGTCCAGGCCTGGGCACGAAGGGAGAGAGGCCTCCATCGTCCCGCAGGGGCCTAAATGTAGACCATGCATCCCCGGTGCTCTCGGGAACCCTTCTCTGATCATGACTCTCTTGGACCCTGGGGTCCTTGTCCTGCTCAGGCATCCCTGCCCCCTTCTCCTTGAGGGCCTTCAACATGATCTTCTCTGGACATGAGTCTGGAGCACAGCCAGGTGTTGTGGGCCCCAAAGGGGTGACTCCCTGCTCCTGGGCCCCACAGAGAGTCCTTGTGCTCAGTGCACTGGCTGAGCTGCAGGACGCCCTGGAATTGCTGTGGTACCTGTGCATTCAAATTGAAGGCAGGATGGCCAGCAAGGAACACAGGGCTTGCAGGATCACGGAAAACCCTTGGAGTTGTTTTGACACACCACTGATGCCAAGTGTCTGGGTACTTGTAGGATGGCCTTTCACTCTGTCCAGGGCCAGTGGCAACAGGGAGATCTCACACACAAAGTGAACTGGGGGATGGGGTGAGCGGGCTCCAGGCAACTGAGCCCTACTGGCAGGTCCTCGGCCCCCAGGACAGGAGAGGGGTGACAGGCAGAGAGTGCCCAGGTAACCACTCCTGGGAGCAATGGGGAACAGTGGGATGCTTCAACTCTCGAGAGCTGGGCTCTGAGCATCTGCCTTAGCTGCCAACTCAGCCAAAGGCTACATGAGCAGTTTCCCCTGTTGACCAGCAATGCATCTTTCCAACCTGAGCAAGTGGGTACGCGTGCAAAGACGGTGCGAGTCACAGATCTTCGTAGGAAGGGAGACCTTAAGGGACTGGCGTGGCCAGGGATGCACACAAGGCATCTGCTGGCAACGCCTTGGTGGGGGTGGGTGGTGCACACAATAGGTACTGGAGGGAGAGGCGCGTGGGAAGAACAGGCGTGCACAATGGCTGCAGATCCTCCTGTGGATGGCTGAAGATTCCTGCTCTCCTGCTGAGGCTTGAGGCTGCTGGGCTGGAGGACTGTATGGTCCAGGCATTGTAGTGTCCCCTTCTCTCCCTGGCCTGGAGCCCCAAGAGCTATCCGGACTTTGTCCAAGGCCTGGTTCTGGCCCAGCAAATAGGTCACTGCAGGGAAGCTGGATTCCCGGCCCAGCAGCTGGCACAGGAGGTGACAGCTTTGGGATTCATATCTGAGTGTCCTCCTGCCCTTCTCCTAGGAATCTGGAGTGGAGAGTTGCTCAGAACAGAAGTGCCTGGGACACCCAGATCCTGCTGGAGTGGCAGCTGGAGTGATGGCCAGGGCAGGCTGGGAGGGACATACTTTCCACAGGACCCAGTGCTTTCATCTCTGTGCAATTGACCAAGAGAAACCAAAACCAAACTCCTTCTTTTACACAGACCTATTTGAGGGAGGCCGGGTATTCTTTGTGTATTTCAGCCTAACAAGATTATGAGATAGTCGGAATGCAGAAGGAGACGGGAGGACTCAAGTGTCCTCTCTTTTGCAAAAATGTCACACGAAGCCACTCGGTCTCTTTTTGGTTTTTTTTGTTTGTTTGTTTTGAAGACTATTGTAATTTTGCAAAATATATGTTATTTGAGGATCGGTGTGCTATTTTTAGATAAATTAATATACTTTTTTTCATCAGCACATGAAACATTCTTCAAAACAGATCCTTTGTTAGTCCACAAAAGCTGTCCCTACAAATTTTAAGAAATCACAATCATAGCATTCCGATTATCAGACAACAGAGGAATAAAACTAGAAATGGATATCAAGGCAAACTACAGAACCTATACACATATATGAAAATTAAACCCCACCCTCCTGAATGACCACTGGTTCAATGAAAAAATTAAAATGAAAATCCGAAAATGTTTTCAAACAAATGAAAATGGAAACACCATATACCAAAAGCTTTTGGATTCAGCAAAATCAGTGCTGTGAGGGAAGTGTGTAGCAGTAAATGCCTACATCCAAAAAGTAGAAAGATGACACATTAATAAACTGATGATGCACCTTAAAGATCTAGAAAAGCAAGAACAAAGCAAAACCAAAATCAGCCCATGAAAAAAATAATAAAGATCAGAGGAGAACTAAATAAAATAGAGTCTCAAAAACAACACAGAAATCAGGAAAAGCAATTACTGGTTCTTAGGGAGAAAAACACACTTTGGGTATTTCCTTTTTTTTTTTTTTTTTTGAGACAGAGTTTTGCTCTTGTTGCCCAGGCTACAGTGCAGTGGCGCAATCTCCACTCACTGCAAGCTCCGCCTCCCGGGTTCATGCCATTCTCCTGTCTCAGCCTCCTGTGTAGCTGGGACTACAAAAAATACAAAAATACAAAATTTTTGTATTTTTAGTAGAGACGGGGTTTCACCGTGTTAGCCAGGATGGTCTCGATCTCTTGACCTTGTGATCCGCCCATCTCGGCCTCCCAAAGTGCTGGGATTACAGGCGTGAGCCACTGCACCCGGCCAGTTCTTTTGAGGGACTCTTGCATAGGAGCCCCAAGAGGCAGGTGCAAAAATGTCCATAGAAACACCGTAATACAACAACAACAAAAAATCCAGACTGATTCAAATGTCCATTAACAGGAGAATGAATACATTAGTTGGAATCTTCTTATACAGTGGTCAGACTGAATCAACTACAGCTGCACAACAGACTGGATGAAGCTTACAAGTAATGTTGGGATTAAATGGCCAGTCCCAGACCGTTACATTTACCATTTGCAATAACAAGAGGAACAAAGGTAACTGAAGAATCTAACAAAAACTATGCAAGACCTGTATTGAAAAATTATAAAACTTGACCGGGCGCGGTGGCTCAAGCCTGTAATCCCAGCACTTTGGGAGGCCGAGACGGGCGGATCACGAGGGTCAGGAGATCGAGACCATCCTGGCTAACACGGTGAAACCCCGTCTCTACTAAAAAATACAAAAAAACTAGCCGGGCGAGGTGGCGGGCGCCTGTAGTCCCAGCTACTCGGGAGGCTGAGGCAGAGAATGGCGTGAACCCGGGAGGCGGAGCTTGCAGTGAGCTGAGATCTGGCCACTGCACCCCAGCCTGGGCAATAGAGCCAGACTCCGTCTCAAAAAAAAAAAAATTATAAAACTTGATTGAAAGACATTTTAAAAATTCTAAATAAGAGAGATAATATATAATCTACTCTGTGGACTGGAAGATTCAATATTATAAAGTTGTCGATTCTCCCCAAATTGTTCTACAGATTTAATGCAAATTAAATAAAAAATTCAGCAAGGGGTGTGTGTGTGTGTGTGTGTGTGTGTGTGTGTGTGTAACTTGACAAGCCATACACAGAATATCTTTTTTTCTTTTGAGACAGAGTCTTGCTCTGTCGCCCAGGCTGGAGTGCAGTGGTTCGATCTCAGCTCACTGCAAGCTCCGTCTCCTAGGTTCAAGTGATTCTCCTGCCCCTGCCTCCTGTGTAGCTGGGATTACAGGTGTGCACCACCACACCTGGCTAATTTTTGTATTTTTAGTAGACACAGAGTTTCACCATGTTGGCCAGGCTGGTCTCCAACTCCTGGCCGCAAGTAATCGGCCTACTTCAGCCTCCCAAATTGTTGGCATTACAGGCGTGAGCCACTGAGCCCAGCCCGTACACAGAATACCATTTTTTACTTAAGCATATTGATCTAGAAGAATTTTTTTAAAATACAGCCTACCATTTTTATTTATAACACTTACAGACAACAAACCATACTGTTCCAGGATACCATATACCTAGGAAAACATCTATAAAAAGCAAGAGAAACATACAAATCAGGCCCATCTGGAGAGAAGGGAGTGAAGCACTGCGCTGATTCGGGGATAAATACTGGTTGGGTAGACAGGCAGTCCTCATGCTTTTGGCTGACATAGATGTTACATACTATTTCATGTGTTATCACACACTCCCAGTAAACATATAACATACGAGAATAATTAACCACCATCAGGCGTACTCATTTTGAGACAGGAAGATGTAGAGGAAAGACCTTGATGAGGGTGTCAGTTCCAAGGATGTATACCAGTGACTGACATGACTTGGTACAAAGCTTGGGTAGAGACCTACACTTAAGCCCCTCACCCCCACTTGCTGAGGCATAAGGGCTCAGAGGGGGTTCCATGGGGTGGGTGGGAGTGGTAAGGGCCCAGGTGGGGCCGCAGCCTGGCGCCCCCCACCCCATGTGCACACCCTCTCCCTCCTCCATCCCATGTGCACACCCTCTCCCTCCCCCCATGTGCACACCCTCTCCCTCCCCCACCCCATGTGTACACCCTCTCCCTCACCCCATGTGCACACCCTCTCCCTCCCCCACCCCATGTGTACACCCTTTCCCTCCCCCACCTCATGCTCACACCCTCCCTCCCTCCCACCTCATGTGTACACCCTCTCCCTCCCCACCTCATGTGCACACGCTCTCCTCCCTCCCACCACATGTACACACCCTCTCCTCCCTCCCACCACATGTACACACCCTCTCCTCCCTCCCACCTCATGTGCACACCCTCTCCTCCCTCCCACCTCATGTGCACACCCTCTGTCCCCATCGTCCTGCCCCAGCCTGTGTTTGCAGTGCTGCAGGGTGGCTGCAGCCTTTGCCTCCCAAAGCTCCTCAAGGTCAGAGGGTTGGGAACCCCTGGGATGGAGCTGGTCCTGAGGAGGACCCTGCCCCTCCTCAGGCATTTCCAGGCAAGGGGCACAGAGACACAGCCAGCCCAGCAGCTGAGACCCTCCTGTCAGGCCAGGTGGGAAAGTGAGGCACGAACACAACCCCAGACTGGAAATAACAAAGCCATCATGTACTGCGTGCCTACTGAATGCCAAGCCCTATGCCCTGTTCTTTAATGTCATCTTTAATGAGATGTCTTCACTCAGTGATCGTGGACAGGTATTTATGGTGTGCAGGAGCATGCTGGGCACTTTGCTGGGCCGTGAAGACTCAGGGAGGTCCCTGCTCTGGTAGAAATCAAATCCAACAGGAGACAGAGACTGGGGCCCCACACACCAGGAGGAACTACCCAGTGCAGTGAGTGCCAGCAGGAAGCCACAGGGGCAGGGAAGGGCCTCCTGGGAGGGTGGGTGCCTGCATCCTGCGGCTGAGCAGGGGAAGCTGGCCTCAGGACAGGATGTGCGCGGGCATGGAGCAGGAAGTTCCTGGAATGATGGGCAAGAGGGAGCAGGTCACTGGGGGCAGGTCTAAATACTGAGGGCTGCATTGGGATAGCAGAGGCCTCGGGCAGGCCCACTCAGCATGCAGACTCCCCTCCCCGGCCCCTTCCCTAGGATAACAGTGGAGGTCCATCCCCAAGTGGTGGGGAGGACAATCCAGACACAGAGACCCCAGCCCAGCTGGCAGGGGAAGGGGAGCCCCCAAGGGCCCCTGCATGCGGGGGCCTGTCCCGCCAGGCAGCCCTCCCACGGTGCCCAGCAGCAGCCCTGCTTGCAGACCCTCTTTTGTCCCCATTGTTAAAAAAAAAAAATTCAATGAAAAATGACACTAGCTGGGCGTGGTGGTGGGTGCCTATAATCCCAGCTGCTTGGGAGGCTGAGGCAGGAGGATTGCTTGAACCAGGGAGTCGGAGACTGCAGTGAGCCAAGATGGTGCCACTGCACTCTAGCCTGGGCGACAGAGTGAGACTCCATCTCAAAAAAAAAAAAAAAAAAGAAGACACTTGCTAAAGCTCTGTAGGGAAGACTATTCAGGACTATCTCACTAGGTATAAGGGACCACGGAGATGAGATTCTGCTCGTCTCAAAGGCTCAGCCTCAAAGACCGCAAGGGCAAGTGGGATCTGACAGTCCAGGAGCAGGGTGGGGGCGGTGCATGGACAGTGACTAGGAGGAAACGTCAGCCGGCAGGGATTCTGGCTAAATTCCCCTAACAGGATTCTTGCTGAAGGCCGGCCAGGATGGTCAGACCGCACCTTCGGGACAGAGGGGGAATCCGATCAGATGTCAAGGATGAGGGCTTCTCGCTAAACTGACTTTGCAGGATTCTTGCTAAAACTGGAGTTTATAAGGAAGTGCTCAGATGTGCCCAGGAGAAGGCTCAGGAGCCTAAATAAAGTTTGACCAAGCAGAGAATCTTTGTCATCAGCTGTGGTGAGAGTGAGGCCCAGAGTGGGTCAGGGATTACCTGCCCAGGTTGTGCAATTGGGAGGGCTCTGTCAGGAGCTCTGAGTTTTCCCACTGGGGGCTGAGTCTGGGCCCTCAGGGCACACACAGGTAGATACTGGCAGGCCCAACACCCCATGCAGGGCAGACTGGGATGCTGGGGCCTGCGGCACAGACTGGTCAGACCCACCCCAGTCCAGACATTCTTTGCAAGAAGAGCTGAGGCTGCTGATGCCAGGAACAGACAAACAAGGTCATTACCAGGTCATAAGCTCATTACCCACATCAGGCAAGGCCATGGCTGGCTAATGAGTTGGCCTCCTGCTGAGCCACCTGCCCTGGGGCGGTTCCCAGAGATCTGGCTAGCCAGTGCCACAGGAGGCCTGGGCACAGTTCCAGGGTCCAGTGGGCAGGGCACGGGTATTCAGGGACAAGGTGTGCCTGAGTCCCCACAGGAAGCCCCAGACCCTGCAGTAAGACCTGGAGCAAGTCATTCTCCTCTCTGAGCTCTCAAAGAAGAGGTCAGCTCAGGGGTCTGGGAGGCAAGGTCTCCTGGAGTAGACTAAGCCGGCTGATACCAATGGTCACACACACCTCCCAGCCAGCCGCTGGTCCTGACAGATGAGGAAACTGAGGCTAGGTGTTTTCATGAGGCCTCTGAACCCAGAACCCAGTAGCCAGTGTCCTGAGCAAAGCCCAAGCCAGACCTGCCAGTTTACGTGTACTGAGGCCCCACTACGCAGCCTGCACTCCTGGGGCCTAAAAGGACCATCACCTTCCCTTCTAAGAGCCCGGATGCAGGGGCTGGGCCCCAGCCAGGCCAACCTCCCTCCTCCTCCAAAGGCCCAGCAGCAGCTGCTACCAGAGCAAGCAGCACAGTCACAGCAAAGGACGGACAGGTGTCCTGTGCTCTGTGGTCTGAGCAGAGGGCCAGGGGCCGTGACCCACATGGCCCCTCCAGGACCAGCTCCAAGATGAGCCTTCCTGTCCCGACCAGTGTGTCCAGGACCTCAGGGCAGATCAGCTGTACCTGCTGGCTGCTCCTGTTCCCTGCCCTTCCTGGGGCTCCCCACCACCTTTGGGAGACAGCTCCAAGACCCTGCTGCCTCCCTAGCTTACCCTCAGGCCCCTGCTGGGTGTGCCCTGTCCCCACACAGACCCCTGAGCCAGTTTCAAGGACTCTGCCCGCATCTCTACCTCCACTCTGATGACGGTGAAGCCACAGTCACACCCTCTGCCTCCACCCCAGCCCTGCTGGGTCCCTGCAGCAGCCCTCAGAGGCCCCCATAGCTCCCTCCCACACACAGAGCTCGCCTGGCCCTGCCGTCTGAGCGCTCCCCTGGCTCCCAACTGCCCTTGGGCTCTGGGACATAAAACCTCCAGCCAAGGTGGCTGCCAAGTTTTTTTTTTTTTTTTTTTTTTTTTTGAGACGGAGTCTGGCTCTGTCGCCCAGGCTGGAGTGCAGTGGCCGGATCTCAGCTCACTGCAAGCTCTGCCTCCCGGGTTCACGCCATTCTCCTGCCTCAGCCTCCCGAGTAGCTGGGACTACAGGCGCCCGCCACCTCGCCCGGCTAGTTTTTTGTATTTTTTTTAGTAGAGATGGGGTTTCACCGTGTTAGCCAGGATGGTCTCGATCTCCTGACCCTCGTGATCCGCCCGTCTCAGCCTCCCAGAGTGCTGGGATTACAGGCTTGAGCCACCGTGCCCGGCCGCAAAGTTTTATTTAATAGCCATAGAGCACAGAGGTGATGACAATTGAGTCACACGGAGAGACTGCCCCATCGAGACCCCTGGCCCAGCTAAGCAGAGGAGCCCTGGGGTTTCCTCTGACCGCCCCCTCCACTGTGAATGCATTACTAAGGGGCAAGGTGGCTAGTCACCCACCCAGCTTGCATGCCTGAATGCACAGAGCTACAGCCTGGGCCCAGGGACAGCCCCCGGAGCTGGTGGCTTCCCACAGGCACAGCCAGCCTCCTCACCCCCACCATTCCTGGCCCCTGGCCCAGGGCACACTGAAGGGAACAGGAGCGGAAGGAGCAGGCCCTGCACTGGAGCCGCAGTCAGCTCCTCGGTGCCGGGGCAGCTGTGGCTGGCTGAATTTGAGGAACTTCCTAGAGGAAGTGGAGAGCAGACTTGTGTGCACGTCCCGCTCTGCCGCTCTGCCACGCTCCCTGAGGGACACACTGCTTTGGCCAGCCCCCACTCCATCTCCTCTCCGCCAGTCCCCGGTTTCCACCCCAGCCCTGCTACCAATGAAGCTCAAGCCAGGGTCCCCACAACCTGCTTCACGGCCACCGCTGCACTTGAGCTCAGGGACTCAGGGTCTTGCTGACACGCCTGCATGTCCACCCCTCACCGACACCTCCGCAGTCCTCCTCAGGGCCCAACAGGGTCCCCAGGACCCCGCTCCCATTCTGCCCTTGCTCCTGCCAACCTATCTTCTCTATGCCTATGGCTTTGGGACCCCCTGTCACAAGTGCCAGCCCCCACATCTGGAGCCCCTGCCCCCACATCTGGAGCCTCTGCAGGAACAAACCCTGATCTGGACTCATTGCAAAGGCTCAGCTTCTCTTTTCAGCCCGTCCATAAACCTCCAGGCGGAGGTCACAAAACTAACAGCTCTTTCAGCAAATCTGGACTCTCTCCTGCACCTTCTCCACCATCCAGGCCTCCCCGTCATCCCTCCTGGGGACCTCAGAGATCTCTTCATTTCACAGGTGAAGACTTGGCTCAGAGAGGGCAGAGCCCCTGGGTCTCCAGCAGGGCTGGGGAAAGAACCCAGGGCTCTTTTGCTGGCAGTGTTTTAATGACGCGGGGGAGGGAGAGAATGGCTAATGAGGCTCTAGGGATCAGTAGAGCCAGCTGCTGGAGGTCCCAGGGCACAGGTGACTCAGCAGGAATGGGGGAGTCTGAGGGGTTGACGGAATACCCAATTCTCACCTCCTCCTGTACCTTCCAGAGAGACGGGCTGCAGGGAGTGACTGCGTGAATGAACATGGCTAGAGGGACCTAGCTTCTCCTCAGCAGCTGCTTAAGGACAGCATTAGCGATCCCCTCAATCCCCCCACCCATACACGCACATATGCACTGACCTGCAGGGGCCAGACCCCGGTGGACCTGGGGACACATTCTCCAGGGACTGTCTTGCTATGTCCCTTCCCAGATCAGCCTGGATTCGTGCCAGGCCAGCCTCCACAATTTGCTGAGGGAGGCCCCAGGGTCCAGGGCACCCAGAGTGCTCACTAGCCCCTGGGGGTACAGGGAGAACAACATGCTGTGTGGGAGATACTACCCTCTGCCCATACCTAGGGCCCTGTGGTGGCCACAGGCAGCACTGCTTATGCAAAGGCACTGGGGTGAGAAGGAATGGGGTGCAGTAGTGAGGGTCCCGCAAAGGGTGGAAGGGCTGCAGGGGAAGGCAGGCCAGCAGAGATGCCATGAGGGCCTCAGATGCCAGGCTGCAGAGGTGAACAGGCTGGCCAGCTCCTCTCCCCCAGCCTCCTACTGTAAAAGGGGAGAGGATCCCAGCCCCACTAATTCATCCACTCATTCCATGGCAAGACAGCCACTGACAGCTGTGTCCTGGGACCCACCCAGGTCTGGCCTCTGTGCAGGCTAGCACTCAGCATGCTTAGTGCCACACTCAGCCCAGGAGAGATGACGCAGCCCTGGGCTCAGAGACCCCACTGTGGGAGGAAGGAGAAGAGTCATTTAAATAGAACTGTGAAGGGTGCTGTGGAGAAGGGGCTCGAGGTCCCCGGTGTGGGATGGGGTGGTCAAGGAACTTTTCCCTACCCAAGTGGGAAAAGTGAGAGCCACCAGGAAAATGGTGGGGAGGGGGGTGGTGGTGGGGAGAGGAACTATGCAAAGAGGAACTTCACCCAGAAGGATGAAGAAGACTGTTGGATTAGAGGAGGTTAAAGGCACAGACAGGCTTGGACATGGTGGCTCACGCCTGTAATCCCAGCACTTTGGGAGGCCAAGACAGGAGGATCACTTGAGGCCAGGAGTTCAAGACCAACCTGGGAAACACAGTAAGACCCTATCTCTACAAAATATAATAATAATAATAATAATAAAATTTTAAATTAGCCGGACATGCTGGTGCACACTTATAGTCCCATCTACTCAGGAGACTGAGGTGGGAGCATCACTTGGGCCCAGGAGGTGGAGGCTGCAGTGAGCTATGATTGATTGCACCACTGCACCCCAGCCTGGGCAACACAGCAAAATCCTGTTTATAAAAACAAAACGAAACAAAAAACCCAGCTTGAGATGGCCAGGGATTTCCAGAGGCCCTAGGCGGGCCGCCTTGGAGAGTAAGGGAGACCCTGAAGAGTTCGCATGGAAGGGCCAGCAGCTTGGGGCTGGAGATGCCACCTGGATGGATTCTTCCAGCTGTGTGGACTAGCGGACAGGGTGAGGAGATAATGGCCTGGACTACATGGAAGGAGGTCGCCCTGAGCCACTGAAAAGGGCTGTGGGGTCCATGACCACTCCTGGTCTTCCCTTGACTATGATGGAGAACTGTCTCCATAGCTTCCAGCGGAAAATGTGAGCTCAGTTCCTGATTTGTGTGTAGCGGGTGGTGCCTGGGCTTCGGCTGGCGATGCTCCATGTCACCTCTGCCCAGAAACTGGGCTATGCCCTTGGTGAGAACCTGCCCACAACGCCGTCGTTCCGGCAGGGTCCCCTGGGAACCCGGCTGCCCAGGACCCTGCCCTGCCGGGGTTCACCGCGCCCCAGGCCGGATCCCCCAGGGCTTTGGTCGTTCCCACAGCCATCCCGAGGGCCCCCTCCACGGTGCGTCGCCTGGGCCCCAGCGGTCGCTAGGCTGCAGCCTGAGGCTTCCGGCCATCCCGGGCGCTGGCGGCTGTGGAGGCAGCAGTGCGGATGGCGGAGCCTGGGGCCCAGGCGCAAAGTGCGTACGGAGCCAGCGAGGTGCTGCGGCGCGGCGCCGGCCGCCGGCGGGACCCGGGGCCACAATCCAATGGGCCCGGCCGGGAAGACGCCCGAGCCCCGGGCCGGCTGGCTCGCCTGCGCGGCCAGCTCCGGGCCCAGGCAGCTTCGCGGTCCGAGGTGCCGCGGCTGCTGAAGCTGGTGGAGCGTGCGGGGGCCGGGACGGCGGGCGTGGGCGAGAGGACCGGGGCGCACAGCCGCGACTCAGTGTGCTCGGTGTGCGGGGAGCCGCGTGGCGGGGCCACCTACCCGGCGGGGGTCCTGGAGGTGAGGGAGCGGCGGCTGCAGGAGGGCTTGGCGGCTGTGCGCGCGGAGCTGGGCGCCGGGATTGAGGCGCTGCGCGCCGAGCTTCGAGCGGAGCTGGACGCCCTGCGCGCGCTGCTGCCGCCGCCGCCGCCGTCGTCCCCCTCTGCCAGCCGCGAGCCCCGCGCGGTCCTCCGTGCCGCGCCCCGCAACCCGACCCTGCTGCGGACGCTCGGCGCCATGAGCGCCCTGGTCGCCGCCTCCAGGACCGCAGACGACGCCCCGGACGGCCCAGCAGACGGTGGAGCGCACCGAACCCCGGCCGGGAAGAACCACAAGAAGATGCCGGTGCCTCCTGGGGTCCCGCAAGGTGGCAGGGACTGAGGACGGCCGCACAAGGGCGGCCTAGGCGAGGTGCGGAAGGCGTCGCGCTGGCTACTCTGGTACCCCCAGGACGGGGCAAGTGAACAGATCGGTCCCCCTCGTGGAGCGTGGCTCTGAGCCAGAAGGGTGCCCGGGTGCCGCCGGCTAGGGCTCTGGTACTGGAGGGAGGGGGTGGGCGCGGGACGGGCGGAGGGTGGGCCACGTGCATCTGGGGAGTGCGGATGGCAGCCTGGGTCCTTGCCAGAGACTGAGTCCGGTTAGAGAACAGGGTGGAGCCCCTTTGGACCTTAGAGTGGGGCCTTTGGGCCTTGGGTCTGGGTCAGGGCTGGGTCAGGGAACAGCTGAGACTCCCCTTCCTTGGGGGTGACTGCAGGTTCTGTTTCTTTCAAGGTCTCATGAGGAGGCAGGGTCTCCACGCACTGGAATAGTGTCACCCACATACAAGGGCACAGATCCCAGGGACACAGGACAGCTGAGACACGCGGCTGGTGATGTCCCTCAGGACGATGTCAACCAGTATGTAATCACATTCCACACGGCACCAACTGGACAGCGGCCTCCGATCACCCTCACTCTGACTGCGACCCTTCTCACTGGACAGCATCACCTGGACACAGAGCCTCACCCAGTCCGTGTCCCGTGGACCCAGCTTTACTTTGGGCGGTGACACCAAGAATACTCACCCCTTAGCCAGACCACAGGCAGCCACCTGGACACGAACATCTCTCCAGACTCACCCTCCATGCAGACTCCACAGCAGAACTCCCAGGGAAGCACTGGGCCATGGCTTCGGAACACCAGGCAGCCCTCTGTGGTGCCCAGCACCCACTCAGCCAGGGCAGCCTGCAGTGGAGCCTGGAGCCAGCAGCTTCTCATCTCTTGGCCTTGGGAAATGTAGCTGGAGTCATCATTTAGCCGAGCACAGTGTCCCTGGGTTGGTCACCCAGCTTATTTTTTAAATAAAATAATGTAATCTTGGCCTAACCGTGGAATTTCTGACTGCTAGATTTTCTCCTTCCGTCTGACCAGGGGAGTCAGACACAATGTGTAGGATAAGGGTGGGGGCCCTTCCCCCTCTGAGAGGAACCTGGAGAATCCCGGGTTCTGGTGAGGTAGGAGAGGGTCACTCAGAGGGCTCCCACGGAACAGACAGGCACACTGAGGCCTCAGTGGGATTAGGGCAGGAAATGCTCCTCTTGCAGTAGGGGACCGAGCCAGGTCACACACACCCCCCCGACTACGCCACATTAGGCTAAGGTCACTCTGTGCATTGTTTATTTCATTGTTCATTTCACATGGAGGGTCGCCCACGGTTGACAGAAGCACAAGCTGAGCCCCAGGCCCATCAGAGCCCAGTGCACACCTGCTAGGGTGGGGGAAGAGCAGGGGCCTGTCGCTGGGACCCAGGCTCTGGAGGAGGCCAATACGGCGAGCCCCTTAAGAGGCTGCTGTGGGCAGAAGTTATACGTGAGCGGTATGGGGCGAGACACCCAGGTGCCCCCACCTTGCTCTCTCTCACCTCCGTGGGAGCACTCCGGCCACCCCACCTCGTGCCCGAGTCTACCTCCATAGCCTGGGTCTGCCTGTCCTGGCCGTGCTCCCAGTCTGCTCAGCTCCAGCCCCCCTTCAGTTGAAGTGCAGCTACAGTGTGCGGTAGGCAGGCGACAGCAGCCCAGCCCCCCAAATCTCCAGGTGGTTCTGAGGATCAGCGTCCATTCAGAGTAGCAATGACGGGGAGGAGGCACATGACACCCTCTCTACCTCACCACCTGCCCACCTTGTGCCATTAGGACGCAGGGTATGGGCAGAAGCCCTTCCTCAGGCCAGGCTGCTTCCCAGTGGGGCCCCATTGCTTCCACTGAATGGGACCCATGGTGTCCAGGGCTCCTGCTGGTCAGCAGAGCAGAGCTCCACAGACTGCAGGGGAAACCCTCCCCGCCTACACCCAGCATGGCAAGGAAGAGGGCAGAGGGCAGCCCTCCTGGGGTGGGGCTGAGCCCAGCTGTGTGTGGTCAGGGATCCTGGCCCTGCCAGAGACCCTGACTCCTGGTCCTCAGGGGCCACGGCTGGCTGTGGTTTGTAGGGTGGGGCCTGGCGCCTACACAGAGGGCGCATCTGGACTGCTGTGTGAGGATGCTCCTTCCCTGTGGAACTAGCCCCTGTGGAGGGTTTCTGGCCCTGTAGGGTGTCTCAGCTCCCGTGTGTAGGGGGTCCTGGTCCCTATGTACACGCAGGAGCTCTCATGCCCTGTGTGGGGCTCTTGCCCCTGCCTAGGAGGGATCCTGACCGCAGGGTGCTGACCTGTGTGGCTGTCATTCTCCAGGGTCCAAGGCCCTCAAGGTGCTGAGTCATAGCCTTGGAAGATGAAGGTCTCGAGGGTAGAGTTCCGCTGGACCCTGTGAAGGTCAGTGTCGATGGGGGACTGGCCTGGGCCCCCACAGGCTGGGGCCAGCTTCTTCCAGTGGGTGAGGCCTGTGAGAACAAGGACTGGGGTCTTTGGGGTGGGGGGGTCAGGGAGGCAGCCTGGGGGTGCAGCAGAGGGTGGCCCCCATACACCCAGAGGATAGCCCAGCCTCAGGAAACCCAGCTCCCTGCTTGCCCCACACCTGAACAGGTCACAGCGCCCCCCTTCTCTTGTACCCTGCATCTGACCTAGCCATCTAGGATTGACTGCCCCATGGTGAGATGAAGGCGGAAGGGTCTCCGGCACACAGCTGCACACCCACACTGGGACCTCTATCACCTGCACACGCTTGGGCTGGCCACAGTGGCACACCAGCCTTGACTGACTCAGGACCGACGGTCACAGCAGGCCCAGACTCACGCACAGGGGGACAGTCACACACTTGCACTGATGCCCAGTCACTGGGGCAGAGGACTATAGACAGAAACCTGCAAAAACCACAGAGTGCAGGGTGCAGACTGTCTCTTGGCCACTCTTGCACCACAGGCACATGCTCTGGTGGTCCCAGGACACAGACTGATCTCACACAGCCTCACATGACACTCTGTCCTCACCACACTTGGGGTCCTGGGAGTCGTAGCAGCAGGTGCCTATGGAGACAGTGGGCAGGGGGCTGAGCTGAGAGGCCAGTCGTCTGGGCCCTCTCTAAGCCCCATGCCATCAGCTGGAGTCCAAGAATGAAGTAGGCCAGGGGAGGCCAGTGAAGAACCCTCTCTCCTGTCACCCCTACCCCAGTATCTTCTGCCCCCAGTCCCTCCCCACCCCCAGTGGCAAGACCTAAGGGGTGGTGGAGCGTGGCAAGAGAGGGTAGATTGGAAACCAGACAGGCAGAGTCCTGGTGCCCACTCTCAGAGTCTGCGCCACACCAGCTGCACCACAAGGAAGGCGAGCACAATGCCAGGGGCGCATGTGGCTCAGTGGCAGCCGCAGCTAGGAAAGACTAGAAAGTGGCCAGGCTGCTGGCCTGGCTGCTATGTATGTATTCATTAGCTAGGTGGGCTAGGGGCATGGCTATTGAGGAGAGGGTGGGAGGAGGCAGTCCCCAGGCAGGGCCACCAAGAAGACAGCAAGCTCTCCAAACTCACCCAGGTGCGCTCTGGTCCCAGGGCTGCACTGAGTGCAGCAACAATCGCTGAGGTTAATCCTGCAGGAGAGGGGTGACCTATTATTATCCCCACTTACAGTCCAGGAAATAGAGGCTGGGGACCCAAATGACACACCAAAGCCACCAGCAAGAAAGGTCAAATAGTGAGGGCACCTTGGACCCCAGCACCCATGACTTTCGGGGCAAGGATAGGAGGAAGGTGTAGGACGTCTCTTGCCCCACTGTGGGCCTGGAACTGCCACCCCATCCCAAGACCACAGCCTGCCTCCTACCCAGCACCCCCCTGTGGATCCAGGCCAAGACAGGAGGTCAGAGGAGGGGAATTCTTTACACCCCACGCCTCTCTCCAATCGCCAGAGGGCAGGGCCCTACCCACACTGGGGATGGGAAGACGGCCCTTACCCAGATGCAGGGCTCGGGGCTCTGTCCAGGGTGCTGACAGCAACCTGTGTGCCCAGGACTCAACACCACCACTCCACTCCTGCCCCAGAAGATGGGATAAAAAATGAGGGGCCGCATCCTTGAGGCTCCCATCCCTGCCAAGGGACTTACCAGCTCCTTTCCTAACCCTGATCCCTCTCACGTCCGGCCGCCGGACTTCCCGCAAGTATACACACCTGGAATGCCCCCAGAGCAGGGCATGCAATCACACTTCCTGGGCCCCCTACCCTCTGACACCGAGAGATGGCACTGCTGGACATGTGTGAAGAGGCTGCAGAAGACCTAGGCTACTTTGTAACACTAGGTGGCTTGGACTGGAGGGAGGGGCTGTTTCCAGCCACCTGGATGATGAGGGGAGCTTAGAGCAGATGGGGCCGACACCCCGTCCCATGCTGGCTCCCAGATGGTGTCAAGCAGCCTCTATGTGGATCCTGTGCAAGTCAGCAACACCTGCCAAGGCAGCAGCCAATGCCTCGAGCGAGGCTGGGTGCTGCAGGATAGCTGTAGGCAGCTCAGGGCTGCTGCTCTCCCTGCATACCCTACCTGGGGGCTCCAGGCTCAGCTCTGCCTGGTCCTCAGGGGGTTTGCTGGACGCCTGCAAGGGCTGCAAACCCTAGGAGCATTCTGCTGAAAGGTGGGTACCCAGTCTCTTCCACCTTAGCCTGTGGCAGCTGTGGGGGTCACACCAAGGACTGACCATGCTTCTTCCAGAACACAAGTTTATTTGGCATTTGGATGAAATGGTTCTCACAGCATCTTAAGAAAAGTTAGTGTCAACCCAACCAGAAACTAAAAACCCTTAATGAAAGGAAAACATAAAAAAAAAACAGGCATCAAGACAATGTACAGTATCAAATCCCACCTCCACATGGCAGGTCAGAGGACACCTGGTCTCCGAGAAACTGTGGCAAGGTGGTCCTGGGGTAGGAGGACCCCTGGAGCACAAGGTTCGGCAAGGGTAGCCCCGGGACTTGCTGGTCAGACTGGGGGCTGCAGCAGGCCTTGCAACGGGGGCATTCTGGATGGCGGTGCAAGGATAGATGAGCGAGTCCAGCTCTCCTCATGCCCCCAAGGGCCTCCTGGAGCCACAGGTGTTCCAGGCAGCTCTGCTATGTGGACCTTCTGACTGGCCTGACGTGCCAGTGGCCTGAGTGCTTGTGGAGGCGCATGGGGAAGGGGCCACCCAGTAACCCCTGGCCAGCCCAAGGCCCACCCTCTGCAGCCTGCATGGTCCACTTTACCCCATTGCCTCGCTGCCCCCTACACGTCTGACTGGCCCTAATGTTCCTCTGGTCCCCAAAGGAAGCGTCCCAGTCCCACACATCTCGTGCCAGCCACCCTGTCCTGCACACACAGTTCTGAGGCCAAGCAGGAACCCTCTAAGCTCTCAGGATCAGGCCCGTGGGGGACTCTGCTGTGTGGTCCTCGGGCCCTCACTGGCCACCTGGCACCCATAATGCACATGCCTGCTGCTCTGGAACCTGGCTGCCATGCCCCAGTGCATGTGGGATACATGACGTGCTTCCTGCTTTGTCTTCTGCAGCCAGCGGGGGACTCTTGTGGCCAGGACTTCCTTCTCAAGAAGTAGCAGCCCTTCTCCAAGAGGAGCGCAAACCTGCCCGCACACAGCCTCTAGCATCATGCTCCAGCAGGCCAAGCTCAGGGACAGGCAATTCAGTGACAAAACTCACTCACAGCTCTGGCACAAAGGTCAAGTCTGTCCATGAGTAACTCAAGATTCTCATTCCACACGGGATGGAAAAAATGGGTCTCCAGCCACAGTGTGAGAATGTGTCAAGTGGACTGTGCATGGAGTCCGTCCCCGAGCAGCACCACAGAACTGCATGCTTCAGCCAGGCCTCCCAAGTGCTGCCCCCGCAGGTCTGGAAAGACTGAGTGAGACAGCCCTGCCGCAGCACAGCCCAGGATGTCGATGACCCTAGAAGAGTGGGCCCCCACTGACCTGCAAAGTTCCATGTACCACCCTCACCTGCAAACGCTTGGCCACATACACACACAGAGACAAACATATAAAGGAAAGATCCAGACATTCAACGTAGAAAAGATGGATGTGCTAAAAATCGCACAGAACCCGCTTAATCTCCAAACCTCAGAAATGTTAAAGGCCCTGTATCAGGCAACAAGACCACTGCCCAGGAGCAGGCAACAGGGTCCTTCAGGCAGAAGGGTCCCAGGCAGGGCCCCCAGCCCCTGCGCTGCGGAGGAGGGGCCTGGAGGTGTGCATGCGGCCGCTGGGCACTGAGCTGCAGCAGTGGCGGTGATGTAGAGTGGACTTGAAGGAGAAAGATGCAGCCTAGGATGGTGGTTTCAGCCACCCCTCCTGCAATGAAGCAACCCTTTATGGCACAAACAGGGTCGGGGGCAGGCCCAGGGGCAATTCAACAGGAGGCAAGAGCCCAGGGCTCCAGAGTGGAGAGACAGGAGGCAGCTCAGTCTCCAGAGCCCGCAGAGCACAGCCCCAGTCCAGAGCTTCTTCCTGAGGCAGCCATGCACAGCAATGCTGGGAGGGATTGACGGGGTGGGGTCAGGCCTCCTGCCGCAGAGCTGGGCTGCAGAGCGCCCAGATGGAAAGACACAGAGAAGAGCTCAACCTCCTTCCAAGCTCTCCTTCTCAGGGCTTCAGGTTCCAGAGTCCCAAGGGAGCTGCCAGCCAGGGGCAGGGCCACCCTGATATTCACAACCGGGCTTGTGGGGCCGTCTTCAGTGCAGCCACTGTGGCAAACTCAAGAGGCTGCCTCCCTGAAGCAGACCCACTGCCTACACCACACCGACAGTCCAGAGGCCCTTCCTGAGGGCGGCCAGCAAGGGGCACCGTGGCAGCCCCCGCTGTGCCCATCCCCGACTGGGTCAGCAGGTCTCTGGACAGCACACTGCAGTGAGCAGGCCCACCACAGACGCGTTGGGTGTGGCCATGGCCCACAGTACCTTCTTCATTCCCTGCCTCTAAAATGTGTGGTCTGAACGAATTTTGTCACTCTTCTGCCATTTATAAAGGCGAAGACAGTGATCCAAAGCTAAGCATGTTTCTGAAGCCCTCAAGGAAGCTCCGTGCAGGCCACCACGTCTTTTGGCAGGAGGCGGGCTGTGGTCTCTATGTACACACGCATGCCCACCTGTGATGTGCGGCAGTGCGCGGCGTCCAGGCTGGGACAGGGGCCTTTCAAGTCTCCCCAGGGACCGGTGTTTTCGACAACAGACAGGTGCTCCCAGACCGTTGGGGTACAGGCCGGGCCGTCTACACCACAGTATTGAGGGAGCTGCGACTGTGGCGGCCGCCCCCTGGCAGTGCCTCTGCAGCTGGGATGCTCCCACTCTGGGCAGGGTCAGGGGGCACGAGCAGGGAGCTGCTGCTGTCGGCAGAGTCTTCCAGGTCTGCCAGAGAGGCCCCCACAGTGGGCAGAGGCTGCTCCAGGCGCCGGGGTAATGCACCTTCACTCCCACCATCCCCAGGGGCTGGCAGGCTGACCTCCGCGGGCTCAAAAGCATCATCGTCTGCAGGGAGAGACAGAAGGGTGTCAGAGACAGACATAGGCCTGGCACAGAGGATGCAGGGGAGCTGGGCAGAACCAGGAGACACTCCTCCTGCCTGAACACCCCTGTGAAGCTGGGTGGAGCAACACCTGGGTGGCTCCCCGTGCCTCAGATTTTGAAGGAAGAGCCTGCCCCACATGACCCCTGTTGTACCTACTGCTCCCTGTGGCTGGGAACCTGGTATATGCAAGGTGCAGGACACATCTCAAATGGCAGACACGCGCCTGTCCCACCATCGGTGTCAGGTCGGGGAGACACACTGACCAGCAGTCACTAGAACAGAGGGGCCCAAAGGGAAACTGTCTGAGACTCAGTACGGGTGAAGACCCGGCTCAGCGGGAAGTCAGGGGTATTTGTCATCAGGGAGGCACTGGTCCCAGGTGGGTGGAACAACATTCAAGACTGCAGCTGGAATGTGACAACCGTCGTGTGGGCAACAGGGCTGCAGGGAGCGGCCTGGAAACCACACAGGTGTCTGCAGGAAGCTCTGATTCAAGGTAGGCTGTGTGGTAAGGAGTCCACTCGCTTTGTTTTGCCCGATCTTTATTATTTGCTTTTTTTTTTTTTTTTTTAAGAGACAGGATCTTAAAAGACTGCACGCTGGTGTGCAGTGACATGACCATGGCTCATGACAGCTTAGAATTCCTGGGCTCAGGTGATCCTCCAGTCTCAGCCTGCCCAGTAACTGGCACTACAGGTGTGCCCACATGCATGGCTAGTTTTGAATTTTTTGTGGAGATGGAGGTCTCACAGGCTGCTCTCAAACCAACCTGGGCAACATAGTGAGACCCCTCCTCCCGCCTCAGCCTCCCAGAGTGCTGGATTACAGGTGTGAGCCACTGTGCCTGGGCTGCCTGCTTGTCATTACCACAGGCCGTGCTGTCTCAAAGCTGACAGCACAAGGCCCCAGTGACGCATCTCCCCCCTGGTCAGCCCCTCACAGCCCCCACCCTGCTCTGCAACCTGGCCCACTGAGGTATCTGGGATCTGCTGCCACCCACTGGCATCCCTTGCAGGAAGCTAGTCCTACCCTGAAAGACTGTGACAATCTTGTGTCCTGAGGGCAGGGGTCAAATCCAAGTCTTTTCCGCATCCCCAGATCATGCAAGAGCTGTGACAGCTGACCAAACAAACAAATAGGACTCAGACCTTTTGGCACAGCAGCACCAGCCTCACAATGCCCATTCTGCTGAGATGTGCGGGCATGCAAGGAGACAGCCGCCCTGGGGTGGCAGTGCCTGCCAAGTACACTACAGGTTTGTGTGTGTTAGGGGGCCTAATGCACAGGGAGAGGGGAAGGAACACCTGCACTGCTCACCAGAGACAGGGACAGGCCAGGGGTCGGGAGCCTGCCTCTCCTTAGCTACACAGCCTTGAGGAATGGTGCCACTATCAGATGGGTGGCAGACTCCAACTATGGGCCAGTGGCACGGAAGCCGCGCTTTCCTCCCACCTCACAGAGCTGCCTCCTGACATAAGGGTCTGTCACCATGGTGTCTCTAGCTCACGTGTCTTTCCAGACAAGTGACTCGCTCCTGGGTCTGGGCCAGCCCTGTCCTCACAACTGCCAGTGCCTGGCTCTCCAGGTCTCTAGAGCTGGGCTGAGGGCCCTGAGGGCTGCCCAGTTGACAGGTGCTCACAGAAGGGAGGGAGGCAGGGGTCTCAGGCCTCCTTAGAGCGCTCTGCACAGATCGCCAGGGGCGGTCAGGCAGGGAGATCAGGATCCCTTCTGCACGGGCAGCCCCAGGAGGAGCCTTAAAGGAAAAACCAAAGACAAAACCAGAAAGAAGTGAGGCCCCAGGCCTCTGCAGCTGGGCAGGAGTGCTGGGCCTGGCCCCATGTGCCAGGTTACTTGACAAGGTGTTCCCTCTCCCTGGGGAGTCAGGCACCTGCAGGGTCATAGAACACACTGTCCGGGTGGATGGAGGCCTCGTAGGGCGGCGGGGGGTCGTCGGGCTGGCCGATGTCCGGGTACTTGTATGCCGTGTAGGGAGGTGGAGGGTCGTGGAAGTGGAAAGTCCCACCCTCTCCGTCATCAGAAAGATGCAGCGGCGTGAGACCTGTGCCGAACCCGTCTGGGCCATAATCAAAGCCAGGGATCCTGCGGCCGAGGTTGAAGTGGTGCACTGGGCCATCAAAAGTGTGGAACGGGAACAGAGACAAGTCACTGGCGGCAGGCTGCCTGGCTCCTGAGCGCCCCACCCTCAGGCTGGGCCTGCCGTACCTGAGTGCACACACCTGGCCCCACTGCCTACCCCTCAGCCACATTCGGCATCCCCATGAGACCCCCGGTGTGCTCCATGGCACATCCCACCCTCACCACACCAATCTGTCCCTCTGGGCTGACACTTCTGCCAGACCCAGCCTCTGGCTGCCCACAACCCTCCAGCAAGGGGGTGATCCAGGCCTCTGATCCTAAGAGGCCTCCGAGTTCTGCCCACCCTGTGGTTTGGGAGGAGTAAGGAGGGTCTTGGCAAGAACTTTCCTGGCCCACAGGTAAGGACACAGACCCCACAACATGCGGCATTCAAATCTGACCAGGGGGCCCTCCACCTGCCTCTGCCCTCTCTGTCCAGGGCTGGGGAGCTCACAGAGACAGGGGTGACCTGGGGTGGGGATGGGGAGCAGGGCTGTGGCCCTCAGAGGGCACTCACAGTTTGCTCCAATCAGGGACTCGATGCGCTCCCGGCGCCGCTGGCGCAGCCGGTGGACCATGAAGAGCAGCAGGGACAGGATGAGGAAGGAGGAGATGCAGCTGACAACCAGGCGCATCCCGCTGGCCATGGAGTCGAACAGGCTGTTGCCATCTGAACGGGAGGGAAGGAAATGGCCGATCTGAGAAGGGGGACCACCTTCGTGCTGGGCTGGGGATGCTGTCGTCCTCCTGCCCAGGTGGGCTGTGTGGACAAGGCACGCAGTGTCTCCCTGCACTCAACCGTCTTCAGGATACATGTGAAATCAGGCCACTCAAAATCAAGAACATGGTGACAGCACAGAAGCAGAAGAGCGAATCTCAGGTCAGGAGGAGCATCTCACCATGGCCCCCGGGGCTGCTGTGTGCTAACGCCCATCTGACTATCACTGGAGCAAAGTGGGGTTTCCTGTCCTAGGACCAGCACTCCTAGCAGGCTGTGCTCACGCACTGCATGCCCCAGGTGCGGCTGGGGAGTGGCCCTCCTGCAGAGGTGCCCATCCTTTCCCAGGGGCCAGGGCTGTGCACAGGCCACCACCCATATCCGTCCAACAGCAGCTTTCCTTTTGTCTGAGGCCTGGGCTCTTGGAAGGAAGGTGCTCAGTTGCCCAACAAGATGAGCCAGGGGGAGGTGAGGGACAGCCTTGTCCTGGTGGGAGGCCAGGGTTGGCCAGGTAGGCAGGGGTCTCATGACAGCTGCTGGCAGTTTGGAGTGGGGGTGGCGTCCCTGTGGAGCATGGCTCGGGTGGCTGCCGTGGGGAGGACAGGCTGCAAGAGAGTAGCATAGAGCGTCAGGAAGCCAGGAGGAGGACCTGCTGCGGCAGAGAAGGGAATGACAGAGGCCTGGACCGGGTAGCAACAGACTGGGAGAAGCGACAGTACAAGGTACACTTGGGATTCAGATTGCCACAACTCCCTGATGGACTGTGTAGGGGAACAGTGAGTCCCTGTGGGCAGCCGCACGGTCAACTCAGGTATCGTTTCACAAATGAGCCTCTGCTGTGGTTGGGAGTGAAGCCTGTCACTTCAATCCTTAACAAGCAATGGCAGAGAAAATGTGCATCCCCTGATGCACCCAGCTCCAGCACACACGTGCAGATGACACCTGGACACAGCACTGGGTCCCACAGGCTCCCCGCTGAGATGCTCTCCTGGCTCAGCCACACCCACACACTGGGTACACACGCACCAGGCGTAGGTGTAGGAAGGCTGGGTGGACCCGACTCCACCTCTTTGCTGGGTGAGTGGGCAGGAGGGGCCATGAAGCCGAGTCCCAGCCAGGCTAGACACCAAGGAGCACCGGGTCTAAGCTGCTGCACCTTCCTCTGCTCTTCTTGGACCCTTTCATGCTTTTCGTGGCCACCACTTGGCTGGGATGCTACTAGTATTCAGTAGGTGGAGGCCAGGGGTCCTGCTCAACATTCTCCAGGACAGCCCCCATTACACAATATCTGGTCCAAATGTCAACAGCGCCAAGAGTGAGACACCCTGCCCTGGTGCAGTGCACACCGGCCTAGGAGCTCGCTATGAGCTGCCCATGGGGAGGCAGAGATGATGTGAGTGGCAGCAGGCATGAAGGGAGAATTTGTGCCAGCCATGCATCTATAACATGCTGGCACTTCCACGCACTCCTGACCTATGTAAAATGGCAACTCACAGAAGTCACAGAATAGTGGAACCAGGAAGTGGTCCCAGAAGTAGCTGCCTCCACAGACCAAGAGTGAAGGCCAGGGAGACTTCAGAACGAGGAGTGACCCATCAGCTCCTGGAAGGAGAAGGACCCCCGCAACAGCAGGGAGCCTGCTAAGCTAGGAATGGCCACTCCCACCTCTGCAACAATCTCAGCAGGCAGGACTCCCACTGCCTGCCCCAAGGAGACACTTCACAACCCCCATGTGAGTGGCTGGGCTCCCAGAGCCCTCAAGTCATTCCTGCTAGCCCAGGACACTCCATGCCCACAGAGAGAGCAGCGCCAGCTCCTGCCCTCCTCCCACGGGGCCAGGAAGCATCTCTAAAAGCTGCAGTTGTTGCTGACAACACATGAAGTGAACATGTGAGAAGGATACATCCTCTCACCAATTAGCTGCTTTTTCTGATGCTTCTGACCCTCCTCCAGTCTCAAGGGCACTCTCATCAGTGGGCGAAAGCCCAGTGGCCCAGGGACTGGCAATGTGCCTGTTCATTGGAGGCCAGTTCAGAGATACCAGGGGAGCTCCTAAGGAAGCAGCCCCTTTGCAATGACTAACTCTTAAATCAGTTCTAAAATAAACCCAAGGACATGGTCAAGGTCCCAATTGTCCCTCAAGGTGGGGACCAGAAATAATCATCTCTCAGAACCAAGCCACTTGTAGTTAAGCACAAAGAACAGAGCCTGCCCCAGAAGCCAGAGGCCAGCCCAGGGACCCCAGAGGCCCCTTGATAGGGCTGCTCCCTCCATGGAGCTCTGGGCTGCGCGGCTGGGGTTGTCTTTTGTCTCTGAGCTATCCTGTAGCTCCCAGAGAGAGGATCCAGCCTGTGCATGAAGAACTCCAATGACAAGGAGCTCACTGTTTCACTGAGCTTGGTTACCTTCTAACAGTTTCAAAATCTCCATCAGAGACGGCAAGGGGAGCAGGAGGTCAGCAGGGATCAGAAGCTGAGACCAGGAACCCAATGTGGGCTCTGTGCCTGGCAGCTGCACCAGCCAAACACCTCAACATGCCTCTGGGAACCTCATCATATCAGGGCTGCCCAACAGCAGCAGAGCAAGCAGGGGCAGAGGGCAGCATGAGTTTCAGCTGCTCTGCATCTTGGCCAGCACTTGGTGCTGTCAGTTTCATTATTTCAGCCTTTCGAGCACGAGTGGTACCCCATGTGGATTTAGTTTGCTTCCCTAACGGCCAATACTGAGCATCGTTTCAGGTGCCTGACTGCCATCCTGTATCTTCTTTTGTGAAGTGTAATAAAGTAAATCTTCTTCTAAAGCCATTTTTCAATAGGGTTGTTTTGTTTTCTTATTGAGTTTTGGTGTATTCTGAATATAGACCTTTGGTGTGTGTTTTGCAAATATTTGTTTTGATTCAGTCAGGGGCTTATCTTTTCATTTCCTTAACAGTGTCTTCCAAAGAACAGTAGTTTTCAATTTTGATGAAGTCGAATTTGTGTTTTAAGGATCATGCTAAAAATGTTGCATAACCCATGGTCACAGATTTCTCTCCTATGTTTTCTCCTATAGAAGTTTTATAGTTCAAGGTTTTACAGTTGTGTCTATGACTATTTTGAGTAAATTTTACATACAGAAGGAGGGATAGTGCAAGTTCGTATTTTTGGCATATAGATGTCCTGCTGTCCCAGCACTAGTCATTGAAAGACTCTCCTTTCTCCACTGAACCATCCTTGCACCTTTGTCAAAGATGAGGCTGGTCTGAAGGTAGTGAGTTATCTCAATTGACTGTTCACAGTCAGTTAACAGATCAAACTCCTTGTTCTACTCTTTTCCCGTTCTCACTACTGCACTTGACTAGTCTTAAACAAACAAAAAAAAAAAAAAAAAAAAAAAGGAGAGAGATCACTTGATTATATGTAGTGTGGAACTATTTCTGGACTGTTCTGTTCCACTGATCCATGTGTCTATTCCTTCATCAGTACCACATTCATAAATTAGGTAGCATGGATCCTCCAACTTTGTTCTTTGTAAAAACTACTTTGGCTATTCTAGTTATTTTGCTTTTCTACCAACTTTTATCCATCTTTTTATTATTTAAGAGACGGGGTCTTGCTATGTTGGCCAGGTTGGTCTTGAACTCCTGGCCTCAAGCAATCCTCCTGCCTCAGACTCCCAAAGTGCTACAATTACAGGCATGAGCCACTGAACCCAGCCCACCTAACTTTTATTTATTTTATTTTTATTTTTTAAGATGGAGTCTCGCTCTGTCACCCAGGCTGGAGTACAGTGGCATGATCTCGGCTCACTGTAACCTCTACCTCCCAGGTTGAAGTGACTCTCCTGCCTCAGCCTCCTGAATAGCTGGTATATAGGCATGAGCCACCATGCCCAACTAATTTTTGTATTTTTTGTAGAGATGAGGCTTCACCATGTTGGCCAGACTGGTCACAAACTCCTGACCTCAAGTGATCCACCCTCCCCAGCCTCCCAAAGTGCTGGGATTACAAGTGCGAGACACCACGCCTGGCCCCACCTAACTTTTAGAATTAGCTTTTCAATACCTACAAAAATGTCTGCTAGAATTTTGGTTGGGATTATAGTGAATCTATAATTTGGGAAGAGTTAACCTCCTAATGATATTGAGACACCTGATCCATGAACATGGTGTCTTCCCTTTTATTTAAGCCTTTGATTTTTTTTCATTACGGTTTTACAGTTTGCAGCAAACAGAATGTGCACATATTTTATATTATTTATAATTGGGTATTTCATGTTTTTTGGTGCTATTATTAATGGTACTTTTCTCAAAAATTTCAATTTTCAACTGTTACAGGTAGATTATATAAATATAATGAATTTTTGTTAAGTTGACCTTCTATCTGGAGACCTTGCTTAAACACACTTATTAGTTCTCGTAACTTTCCTGTAGATTCCCTAGGATTTTCTATGCAGCCAAGTCATCTGTAAAAGGAGATGGTTTCATTTCTTCCCCTCTGGCCTGGACGGTTTTTCGTTTCTTCTTGCCTTCTGGCACTGGCTTTGACCTCGAGCACAATGATGACAGGGTGGCAAAAGTAGACACTCTCAGCTTGTTGAAGGGGACATTCTGATGCTTAACACATGACATCCTATTCCCAGAGTCTCCAGTTTTGGTGATAGTGTCTCGGTTCTTAATGTAGTATGAGCACTTCCCAGGAGAAGGCCCCTAGGAAAGTCAGGAGCCCATGGAAGCATGGCCACAGGGTGGGCAGAGCAGGGCCCAGCTAAGTTGCTCTGGCCGTGCAGGAGAGAGGGCTGCGGCTGCTCTGGGCCCACCCAGATGCACTAAGGGCCCTGCTCTGCTAAGAAGTCCCTGGGGCTGGGCAGGCTCTTTAGGCCATACATGTCCACAAATGGGTCATCCTTGTACACATCTGGGCATTCTTACAAAGCTTGGACATAGTGGCAAGGCAGCACTGGTAGACTCCTGAGAAATGGAACCAGGAGTCCAGGTAGCATGGCTTGTGAACAGTTTGACTCTTGTAGCCCGTCACTAAGTTGGAGGTTTAAAGTTATGTGGCTGGGCACAGGGAACTTGGTAAGCACTCAACTGGTGCTTCTCATGGCCTTAAACAGACATGCACCTGATACGAGGAGAAACTGCCCTGTAGAATGGGGTCCAAGCATCACCCTCTAGTTCTAGGTCCTCTGGTGGGCCTGGCTGCAAATGTAGCCTTGTGCTCACCACAGTCAACTGCACATGTCTAATGGTGCATGCCAGAGTGCCCACTTTCACCCAGCCTCAGACACGGCCTCTGGAGGCCGGCTCTGTCCTCCCACCCAGCAGCCTCCTGGTGTGGAGGGACACTGACAACATTCCACTCAGGGGAAGCTTTCACTGTTGTGGCCCAGCCTCTAGCTGCAGCCTCTCCTCTACAGGGACCCTGGAGACGGAGATGGCCATCACACCCTGCCAAAGCTGCTCTTCTACAGGGTCCACAAGTCCAGGGACTTCAATAAGTCCCCATCATTTCATTCTTACTGTGGCACCCAAGAAAGAAAGAAACTCATACTTTTGATTTACATTTCTCTTGAGATCTGAATTCACACAGAGCTACAGCTACAATGGTGTGCAGAATGACAAAGCATGCCCCTGGAGTGTGAGGGGTGTTAACATCTCAGAGAGCAGCGACCCATCTGCCCCTCTCTTTTCGCAAGTGGAAGGAAGAGGATCACCCCGAGATCAGATTCCCTGTACTGTCTACCGCCTGGTGGTGAGGAGTCTGATCTCGAAACTCAGAATAATACTTCATCTTTTTCTTGAAGATTCTAAGGTAAAAATGGATGACCGTAAGCAATGACAACTGTCACTACCCTCCGTATCATACTAGAGAACAGGAAGAGTTCCAATGTGGACATAAATTAGAAGTCTAGGCTGGGTGTGGTGGCTCATGCCTGTAATCCCAGCACCTTGGGAAGCTGAGGTGGGTGGATCACTTGAGGTCAGGAGTTCAAGACCTGGCCTGGACGACATGGCGAAACCCCATCTCTAGTAAAAATACAAAAACTAGTCGGGCATAGTGGCACACGCGTGTAATCCCAGCTACTGAGGAGGCTGAGGCAGAAGAATGGCTTAAACCCTAGAGGCAGAGATTTGAAGATAGGTTTGAAGCTGTCAGTGGTGATTTGTGAACAAACAGCCACACTCAAGTTCAAGTTCATTTGTGACTGCTGCCTGTCACCCCAGAATGGGAAGGAGGCAGCTGGAGGGGTCGTGTCAGACACGCCCACTAGAGTGGTGGCATCAAAGTCTTTGAGACATCTCCGTGACAAACGCTGCCACTGCTGCTGCGCCATGCTCTGTAAACTGCCCTGAGTCCTCACCACTGAGGAAGCAAAGGGACGCCTAGCCTCCAGCCCCAAATAGGGAGGCTGACTTGGGACCTACTATCAAGAGTCTCACCTGGGTCCAGACACATGAACTTGCAGCACTCTTTGGGGTCCTTGCGGTACTGCTGGCAGCCCTGGGGCCTCTCACAGAGAGCAGCCACGCACATCTCAGGCTCCCCTCCATGGCAGGTGCAGCTCAGGCATGGGTCGTCCCCCTTAGGGGTGAAGTAGAACCCTTCATCCACCACGTTGTCCTTGATGTCAACACATGTTTGACCTGCAATGAGCATACATTGTGTACAGATGTATACACTGCCAAAAAAGGTAGCCTCCCCATATGGGCCTGTGAATGCTACCTGCTACCTTAGAATGGGAATGAGGCAGCTGGAGGGGTCATGTGAGACATGCCCACTAGAGCAGTGGCATCAAAGCCTCTGAGACAGCTCTGTGAGCAAACGCTGCCATCACCGCTGCACCACTTGACATGAGCTGACCTTCCCTCCCGGGCCTGGGGAACCAACAAGGCAACTGAAGACTTGGCCAGATTGTGCTGAGAGTCTTCCTAGGAATGGAATGTCATGGATCTGGCACATGGCACAGGGAGTAGCTGTCCAAGAGCAGTCACTACAACACACTGTTAGGACAAAGCACATCCAGCCAGGGCAAATGGAGGCCAGAGAGCCAGGATGGAGCAGAGTGCCAGACTCCAGGGTCACGACAGAAGTGTTTGCCTTGAGGTTGCCAAAGTAGATTACTTACGAGATTTTCTCAATTCTAAGATGCAGCTGCTATGAGTATTAACCATTTCAAAATCAGAATGTGTCTAAGGAAGCTGCCAGTTCTGCTTGGGAAGACAGTCCACTGGACCTGAGGCACACTCTGCACAGAGCTGACCTGGGACAAGAGTAAGAGGAATGGCCATGGCTAAAAACCCAGAGTCTTCAACTGGTAGGCAGACATTGCGAATGCCTGGAGGAAGAGAAAAGGGACGAAGGAGCCTCCAAGAGAGCTACCCTCAGTGAAAGGCAAAGAGACATGAGAAGGTAGCTTGTTACAGTCTCCAAATGGGGTAAGGATGTCTAGAAAAAGACTCTTCCGAAATTTCACAACCACAGGTCTATGCCTCACTTAAGATTGCAGTCAGCCAGGCGCAGTGGCTCACACCTGTAATCCCAGAACTTTGGGAGGCCGAGGCAGGCGGATCGCCTGAGGTCAGGAGTTCGAGACCAGCCTGGCAAAACCCTGTCTCCACTAAAGATACAAAAATTAGCCAAGCGTGGTGGCATGCGCCTGTAACCTTGGCTACTCAGGAGGCTGAGGCATGAGAATCTCTTGAACCCAGGAGGTGTAGGTTGCAGTGAGCAGAGACTGTGCCACTGCACTCCAGCCTGGGCGACAGCGTGAGACTCTGTCTCAAAAAAAAAAAAAAAAAAGGATTGGGATCAAATCTAGGTCACCCATGTGGTCAGGAACTCCCAGGGCAAGATACTCACATACAATTATTCCCTGGCTAAAACAGAGAAAAAAGAATGAAGAGAAATGAACAGAGCTCCCAGAGAAATGTGAAACACCATTAAGCACACCAACATATGTGAAACAGGAGTAACAAATGCAGAGGAGGGAGAGGAGAGAGAGAAAGAGGCAAAACAAATACTCGAAGAACTAACAGTTGCAAACTACTCAAATTCACTGAAAAACAATAACCTACACATTCAGGAAGCTCAACAAATTCCACATAGGATAAACGCAAAGGAGCCACAAACTGACACATTAGAGTGAAAATGCTGAAAGTGAAAGACAAGGCAAAAATATGAAGAGCAGCGAATGGGACATGATTTGTTACTTATAAGGGAATCCCAAAAAGACAAACAACTGACTTTTCAGCAGAAATAACACAGGCTGGGGCAGTGGGATAACTGCTCACAGAAAACCATCAACTGAGATCCAAATCCAGCAAAGATATCTTCTGAAAAATAAAAGTAAAATAAACTTTCCCAAACAACAAGTGAGAAGTTGTTTGCAGACTCACCTTGTATAAAACACGAAAGGCAGTTTTGCAGGCTAAAAGTATGCAATCCCCAGATAGTAATTTGAATACTAACAAGAAACTGAAGAGCAACAGTAAAGGCAATCATGTGATTATAAATTACAGCCTATATGCATAGTTTTCCTCCTTTATTCTCTTAGCTGATTTAAAAAGCAATTGTATAAAATAATATGTATGGAATGTAGTGTTGGGTCTATAACATACCAAAATGTAACACACTTAAGATTTGCTAAGAATGGCACAAAGGTGGTATGTGGGAGCAAAGCTATACTGGACTAAAGAACCTTGACCTAAGTCTCACACCTTAATAAAAAACTCATTCAAAATACGTCCTAGACTTAAATGTAAAATGGAAAATGATTAAAATTTTAGGGAAAAACACAGAAGAAATGTAAGGCTAGGCAAAGAGTACCTGGACTTGAAACCAAAAGAATAATCCATAAGAGGAGGCTGGGCTCAGTGGCTCGCACCTGTAATCCCAGCACTTTGGGAGGCAGAGGTAGGTGGATCACCTGCGGTCAGGAGTTTGCACCCAGCCTGGCCAACATTGTGAAACCCTGGCTCGTGTTGGTAATCGCAGCTACTTGGGAAGCTGAGGCACAAGAATCACTTGAACCCAGGAGGTGGAGGTTGCAGTGAGCCAAGATTGTACCACTTCACTCTAGCCTGGGCAACAGAGTGAAACTCTGTCTCAAAAAAAAAAAGAACAATCCATAAAAGGAGAGACGAATAACCAGGACTTCATTAAAATTAATAACTTTTTTTCTTTGGGTAAACTTATACTGCCAGGGAAAAACAATAACAAAACTTTCTTTCCTGAAATCTCATTTGAAGAGGATGAAGGCAAGCTACAGACTAGAAAAAATATTTCTAGTCGGATTTCATATCCGACAAAGGACTGGTATCTAGAATACATAAAGAACCTCGAAAATCAACAGTTTAAAAAAAACAAGAACAAAACAGATCATTAGTTCACACCTGTAATCTCAATACAAGAGGATCACTTGAGCCTAGGAGTTGAATTTGAGGCCAACCTAGACAACGTAGTGAGACCGTATCTCCATAGAAAATAAAAAACTTAGCCAGGCATGACGGTGCACACCTACAGTTCCAGCTACTCAGGAGACTGAAGTGAGAGGACTGCTTGAGCCCAGGAGCTGGAGGTTACAGTGAACTATGATTGCACCACTGCATTTGAGCCTGGGTGACAGAGCAAGATCCTTTCTCAAACCAAAACGAACAAACAATGCAAAGAGAAAATGGAAAAATAACATGAACAACAAACAATATACAGACGGCAAATAAGATATGAAACATGAAAAGGTTTTAACATCATTAGCCTCAGGGAAATGCAAATTAAAACCACAAGAAGCTACATGTCTACATAGATATCTGCATACCTAACAGAAGGGCTAAGATGAAAAATAGTGAAAACGGTAAGTGCTGGGGAAGACATGGAGAAATGAAATCACTCCTACATTGCTAGTGGGACTATAAAACAGTACAGCCACTCTGGAAAACAATTTGCTTGTTTCTTTAAAAACTAAATATGCAACTACACTACAGCCAAGCAGCTGTAATCCTGGGCATCTATCACAGAGGACTGAAAACACATTTGCAGCCAGGTGCGGTGGCTCATGCCTGTAATCCCAGCACTTTAGGAGGCCGATGCGGGTGGATCATCTGAGGTTGGGAGTTCAAGACCAGCCTGGCCAACATGGTGAAACCCGTCTCCACTAAAAAGACAAAAATTAGCTGGGCATAGTGGCACATGCCTGTAATTCCAGCTACTCGGGAGGCTGAGACATGAGAATCGCTTGAACCCAAGAGGCGGAAGCTACAGTGAGCCAAGACTGTGCCACTGCACTCCAGCCTGGGCAACAGAGTAAGACTCTGTTACACACACACACACACATACACACACACAAAGGAAGAAAGAAAACATGTTTGCACAAAAACCTGTATGCAGATGTTCATGGCAGCTTTCACTGTAATAGCCAAAGACTGGAATCAGCCCAGATGTCCTTCAATACTTGAGGCCTATAGTTTGAGACCAGCTTGGGCAACATAGCGAAATCCCACCTCTACAAAAAAAAAATACAAAAATAAGTTGGGCACAGCAGCATGAACCTGTGGTCCCAGCTACCTGGGAAGCTGAGGCGGGAGGTTCACCTGAGCCCGGGAGGTTGAGGCTGCAGTGAGCAGTGATCACACTACTGTACTATAGGGTAACAGAGACCCTGTCGCCAAAAAAAAAAAAAGGAATAAATTGTTAATAAAAATGACAATGTGGATGACTCTCCAGGGAATTATGAGTGAAAAAAGTCAACTCCAAAAGGTTGCTGACTATATGATTCCATTTATAGAACATTTCTGCCTCACGACAATACCTGACAAAGGCCAGACCACAAATGAGCAAAGGCCTCTGACCTACCACTTCTGTGGCAACCAGTCTAGGGCAGTCAGGATCTGGAAAATGGCCACCAGCTTCTCTATTTTGAGTCCATACTTCCAACTCAAAACCCACCAGGGAAAGCCAAATATGTTCCCCAAACCAATCACCTCCACTGCCCTGCTTCTAGTCAGCCTGCCTCTAATCAGAGCATACCTGGAGTCTTTAGGGCCCTGGTGAAAAGCCACTGTGCTGGACCCAACTCCAGCTGCAGGAGGGTCAGAAGCAGTTGTGAAGGGTCAACCCTGGATACTCAGGGCACTGGGCCTGTCTAAGGCTGAGATGCAGTTAGAACATCAGAGCCTACTATGAGCATGCTAACCAGCTTTGAGTCACACAGTGGACTACTGCTAGGCGGGCTGCAAAAGACAGACTCTCTAGAGATGTGGCCCAAAGGGATAACCTAAAGTGGAGGGTGGCGGAGACATGAAGAAAAACCCTCTGGCAAACCAGCCTCCACCCAGAACAACAATCCTGCTGAATACGAAAGCCTGAGGTGCACTCAGAGCAACTACAGTGCCAACAAACCCCAAGCCCAGCCCAACTCTCACCCAGATCAATGCCCTTCACCGTACTAAAGACCCTCCCACAAGAAAGGCCCAGTGGAAGTAAAGGCATAGCCATTGCAAGCACAAAACTATTGAACTCAGTCTCTATTGTCCCACACAAGATGTCAGACTTCCAATGAAAAGCCTAGAAAAAAGTACCATGCTCCAGAGACAGAACATTCAAAAAACCAGACTCAAATATGACACAAATGAAGGAACTTTCCCACAGGGAATTTAAAATAACTGTGATTAATTTGTTAAAGGCTCTAATGGAAAAGCTGGACAATATACAAAGTTAGATGAGAAATTCAGATGAGAGACGGAAACTGTAAGAATCAAATGGAAAATCTAGAAATAAAAAAACAGACAAAATCAATGAAACAGATGAAGAATACCTTCAACGGGCTCATAAGCAGACTTGACACAGCCAAGGAAAGAATTAGTAAACCTGAGGACAGGTCAACAGAAATTACTCAAACTGAAGGACTAAAAGAATCCAGGAGACATGATGACTAGATGTAATGCATGATTCTGGACCAGGAAAAAAAAAGTTATAAAGGATATTATTGGAACAACTGATAAAACTGGAATGATGGATTGTGGATTATTGTATGGTACTGTATCCATGTTAAGTGTCCTGATTTTGATCCACACAGTATGGGTACATAAAAGAGTGTCCTTTTTCTTAGGAAATATACACTGAAGTAGAAAAGGCTTAAGGTCCACAGTATCTTCAGTTTACTCCCAAGTGATTCAGAAAAAATATGCAGAGAAGTGAATGATAAAGTAAATGTAGTAAAATTGAAATTCTGGCCGGGCGTGGTGGCTCACGCCTGTGATCCCAGCACTTTGGGAGGCCGAGGCGGGTGGATCACGAGGTCAGAAGATCGAGACCATCCTGGCTGACACAGTGAAACCCCGTCTCTACTAAAAATACAAAAAATTAGCCCAGTGTGGTGGCAGGTGCCTGTAGTCCCAGCTACTGGAGAAGCTGAGGCAGGAGAATTGCTTCAACCTGGGAAGGCAGAGCTTGCAGTAAGCCGAGATCATGCCACTGCACTCCAGCCTGGGCAATAGAGTGAGACTCTGTCTCAAAAAAAAAAAAAAAAAAAAAAAGAGGACCAATGTCAACAAGAACACCTGCACCACGCTCGGCAACATCAGACACATGATCCACAAGAACAAAGCCTCTCTTCAACCTGCACACAGCTGCCATCCCAGGGCCAGCGCCACCCCGCGAAGCCAGAAGCCTGTGATGAAGAGGAAGGGGACCTGTCCCACCAAGAGCTCCTGAGGCCCCTGCCCCCCAAAAGCAATAGAGTTAGCTGGCTAAAATAAAATAAAATAAAATAAAATAAAATAAAATAAACACACCATAGACTGGCAAGGTAAACTGAGAAGCAGAGAGAAGGATGGCAGAAGCAGGGGTGGGGAGGTGACCGATGGACTCAGATGCTCCAGAGACGCCAAGTCCTTGGGTCCTCATTCCCATCTACTCTCTTAACAACACTGCAGCAGGGAGGACGGGGAGGACTGTCTCTTTCCTGGGAAAGAGAATAGTGGGCTCTAAGATGCTGACCAGCTGCCCTGGTCACAGAGCTGCAGACAGGCCCCAAGAACAAGGTGTGAGCTGGTGAGGGGTGCCCACCGCAACACAGCAATCAGGTTCTGCCCCAGAAACCTTGGCTGGTGAGGGGCGCCCACCCCAACACGGCAAATCAGGTTCTGCCTCAGAAACCTTGAACTCAGGGTCCAACAAAGTGACACAAGGGCCCAGACATCCCCAAGAACGCCAGCTCAAGGGGGCTTACTTCTTTTACACAGAAATGAAGACTTCTCGTAGCAGCTCTCGGCGTGCCAGCTGTGGAGGTCGTGGTGCCGCAGGGTGGGGAAATGGAAGCACTGAAGCTGGGCACAGAACACGTTGTCGTTCTCAGACATGGCCGAAGCAAAGATGGGGTCTGGGGGCAGGAACACCTCTGAAGAGCCTGTTGGGGAGACAAAAGGTGGGGCTGGACAACATCATGTCAGAGGACAAGTTGTGTAGTCCTCAAGGGGACCATGGCGTCAGACAGGATCATCAACCACAGGGCCTGGGCCGCCAAGTGCTGGTGGTCACTGTGGCCAGGTGTTCATTCGGGACTCCCCAACCTCCTGGGAGTCACCCCAGGTGCTGGGCCTGGCAGGAGCCACTCTGTGGGGGCTGCAAGCACACAGGCCACAAACCCTGGGTAGCAGTAAGTGCCAGCCTGAGCACCAAAAGAGGGTGCTGGATCAGGGTTAGTGGGCAGCATTTAAAGTTAGAGCAACAGCATGAATAACAAAGTAATGGACTGTAGCACACTGGATTAAAATGCAAACAGGGGAATGGGCAGGGGAAAAAGGCAGGAAAGTTCTCCCTTAGGACAGAACACTCAGTCATAAACAGAGGAGTCACAAAGTCCACCCGGCACCCATGAGGAAGGCACCATCAGGCAGCATCGGCACTGGCCAGCACTACCACCAGCTGGCTGCAGGCAACACTTAGGAAGCACTGGTTCCCAGGGACCTCTCTCAGCTCAAGGGAAACTGTCACCACTCAGCTCCTGCCTGTCTAAGCCAGGCACAAGGCAGTCAGAAACCATGTACCCTCGCCACAGACAGCGTGAGGGTTGGGGACTGCTAAGCTCCAAGCCTCTCTTCTGCAAGCTTCCAGATGGGCTCTGGCCACACCCAGGGCATAGCACAGCCAGCCCTAGGCCCCACTCTCTCCCCGGCACGGCCCTTCCAGTCTGGGCCGCCGAGATTCCTTGAGGCTTACCCAGCCAGGATCACTGGAAACACAAAGCAACCTTTCCAAGAAGCAGAATAATGAAGGCACACCTGGCGCTCTCCCCTCCTAAGATAGCAGTGCAGCTCACCCCTTCATAAGCCTCCAGCATGCTCACCTGCCTCTTTTGGAGCTCCCTTTACACCCAGCACTAAACATGGGGCTCTGCCTCAAAAGAGCCAGTGAGTCTGGAAGCAGGCCTATGCTGTGGGCCTGTGGACGGACAAGTGGTGCCCTGCCATGGGCAGGACAGCTCTCAGGAAGCTGAGACCTGAAAGACCTGTGCCGGGCCAGCAGTCACAGCAACAGCTGCGCCCCCTTCCCAGAGACACACAGGCCTAGCATCTTGCCTGCCTCATCAGCATGTATCAGACCCACAGCAGGGCAGGAAAGAGGCCCACTGTCATGGAGTCGCCTCCCCATACCAACTGAAGCGCTCGTCTCCACTGCTGACAGTGGGTGCCACCACCATCACGCTGCGCACCACCCCACCTTTTCTCCAGGCCCCCAAGCCCCTGCACACCCTCCTCATCTCCCACAGATGCCCTCTCACCTAAGTAGAGCCCCTCCCCTTTTAAACCCTGTTTTCTTCACTATTTGCCTTCTTGTCCCATGGGATGAAAACCAAATGGGTTCCTTCCAACCTTTAACAAACAAAAAATCTTCAGTACTGAAGCTAGTTGCCAGCCCAGAGCTCCTGACCACAACTACAGTACATGACGGTAGACCGAGACCAAGGCCACAAATGACCTCTCCGGGCAGAGTCCTGGGACCCAGCATCTGCCCCCAAAAGCTGCCTGGACTGGGGCACAGCCAAGTCGGAGAGTGGGTCAGGCAACCAGCAAAACAGGGTTCATGTGGGACTCTAGGCCAAGGCCCAGTAAGCCACACAGTGCTCCCTCCTGGCAGTGAGCTGCATGGGTACTTGCGCAACGCCCCTGCCCAGGAAAGCTGCTGGTGGTTCTGCATCCAGGTGCTGACTGGGGGCTGGTCGTGCGGGGACTGCACGCCTACCCGAGGTGCTGCCTTGCAGAGTGGGCAGGTGCTCGTCTTTGGAGCGTCCCTGGAAGGGCGTCACAGTGACAGCCATGAATGAGGCAGCCTGTGGGGCTGGAGAAGACGCTGGGGAGTGGTAGGTGATGAGGGTAGTGAGGGAAGGGACTGCTAGCTTTGATGGAACTGTGATTTCTATGAGAAACGAGAGCTGTGCAAGGGAGCAGAGGTGAAAAGGACCCCCGGCAGCTGTGTGAGGAACGGTGGGGCTGGGGCCAGGAGACCAGATAGAGGCCACTAGCACAATCAGGTGAGGGATGATTGTCAGGTCCAGGTGGGGGCTGCAAGACTGGTGCCAGGTGATGAGATCCTGGACGTATTCCAAAGGTGTGAGAGGAGCCAGGAGGCTTCCCTATACTGCACTGGGGATGAGTTCTGCAGATTTTTCTCCAGGGCCTCCCACTTCCTCCTGGACGCCCCCTTACCTCAAACATCCCGCTCTTCCTGAAGGACCCTCATCCTGGAGAAAGGCCCTGTGAGCAGAGCCGCCCTGGCTACCAGAGTGACTGGGAGCAGTTCCTCGCGAAGAGCCCTCCTCCCAAGCCTCCCTCCAAGACACTCCTCCTCAACCCCTGCCACCCCAGCAGATCCAGTTCTCACCTCGACAGGGCAGCAGCAAGTTTCCAGGTGCCCCCCCATTTGTCCACACATGAGGTGTGGGCAAGGCTCTGACAGGAGCCTTAGGGTGGGCCATCACCAGCCACCGGAGGACACCCTGCTCCAGAGACTGATACACGAGGGCATCTGAATGTCACTTGATTACCTCTGCCACCACATCTTCTCCCACGCATGCCAGCAACCACTGCCACCTCCATGTCTGCCCCTGCTCCCCGAGCCTGGAGAACCCTCCCCGGCTCCCCCGGCCCCCTTGTTCCTGTGGTGGGGAGACCTTCACTCACTTTTCTGAGCCCTCAAAGAACCTCCCCTTCCTGTCTCGCCACCTCCGCAGCCACAGAGTGAGCCTCTACTCAGGGCCCACCAGGGGCTGTCCAGATGCTCCCGAATGCCCCACCACGGTGGCAGCTGCCCCACTCAGGGGCTGTCTCCCCTCCAGGAACTGCGGCGACCCCAGCTGACCCCATCCTAGCCCAATGGTCACCTCACCCAGAGGGCAGGGTCTCTACAATGCACCTTCCAGTGGCTGCTAGGCCAGCCTGGCCCCTTCCTCACTGCTGACTGAGGTTTCTAGATGCCAGGTCCCACAGGCTGGCCCAGGACCACAGCCCTGACTGCTGGCCTCAGGGGGCAGCACCCTACAATCCCTCGTGTATAGCACCAGAGAAAGAAGACGATGGAGACCATGAAGGACTGGCCACAAGATCTTGGGAGAGAAAAGAAGGCTTCTACTCAGTTACACACCTCCCGACCTCAGCCAACCTGCAACGTGCGTGCTGAGACACCATGGGGGACAAATGAGGGCCAGGCACCAAGTGATCTTACATGAGCAAGTGACACGTGTGGACACATTAAACACATGGTGTTTTCACTTTTATGTTTTAAGGTAAATACCAAGTATGACTCACCAGACAGAAGCCACACTGCTGGTGCTGACGGGAAGGCCCTGGGAGCAGCACGTGGGGCGGTGTGGATGATTCTCCCTAGACAAGGATCTGTATTTTTTCAACCTTTCTGCACAAATGTTACAGAAATCCTGGCCCCATGTCTTCTGGCAGCAGCAGCGGCAGTTCTATCTCCAGGGCATACCATGACCTGGTGCTGTCAAACCTGCAGGGTCTTGGCCCCTGGATGGGGCTCACAGGCTGGTGTGGGCCCCACCAAGAGAGCGCTCCACCAAGCCACATAGGAGCCCCGCGGAAACGAGCTCCCAACTTCAAATGTGTGTGCTGGGTGCCGACATATGGGCATAGTAAGCGTCTATGTACCATGGTATCACTCACACCCCAATCCAGAACATATTATACAACACAGAAAAGATGGACAACATGTAGATGAAAGAAACATTTTTCAACATCTTAATGTGAGGCCTTCCCACCAACATTGGCTAATATTCTCAGGTACAGTATTTTCTTAGGGAAGGGTTCAGAATGAATAACAAAAGACTCACATCCACTTCCCATAGTTTTTTGGGTATTTTTTGGGGGGCCAACCCCTCAGACCCCAATGAGCCCTCTGTTTTGCACCATGTCCCTGGGCAGAAGAAGGGCTGGGCTGGGCTGGACGTGCTCTTGTTAGCTTGTTTTATGCCCAGTACTGTCTTCACTCTGCAGCTTGCTTTTGGTACGGGAATTTTTAAAACGATGCCACTATGGAGAGAGGAGTGCATACACCCAAGCTGCTTTGGCGCTGACCATACCCTGCTGCTTGGCTCCTCTCTGCCCTACCACCCTGGGAGCCCCTCTCCTGCAGACTCCAGGATACTGGCTCCTAAACCACATAACCACAGTCCTACTGCTGCACCTAAGAAAATGAATCTTCCACAAGTCCCCACTCACATTTCTTGAATTGTCCTGTGGAGTTTTTTATAAGCCTCCCAACCCAGGATGCCATCAAGGTTCATGTGCCACATTTGGTTTTATGTTTCTTTAATCTCTTTAAGCCCAGAACCACTCATGATGTTGAGCTGTGTCAAGGGCCAGTTATCCTGCAGCAGAAAACTTATTTTTACTATTTGTTTTGTGACCACTATTTAAATCTGCTAACAGAGTTCCCAAATCCATTTAACTGGGCACAAGAAGGCAGCGGCACATGGTCACCCCCGCGAAGCTCCGGGATGCTGTGGGGCCCCTTGCACGTTGAGCTGCATGAATAGGGAGCTCTATGCCAGCCGCGGCTGCCAGCACCGACACACATGTTCAATCTTTTTCTAAATTTTAGGTTCACTCTCCTGCCTGATACTCCAATGGAGTCACCGAGCTGCACCTGGCCATTAAATCCCACCCAGGACCCTTGCCATTCTCACACCAAGCATGGGGTCCTGAGTCCCAACTCTGAATGTGCTGTCATCCCACTCAGAATCATGTCCTCTCTTCAACCACCAGCGTGAAGAGGACAAGCTACCAGGAGAATCATGTTCTACAAGGCAAATTTTGACACTGGGGCCTGGAAACCCAGACGCCATTGATTAGTCAACAGCAATCTAAACAATGCACTCATAAAGCCGGGGAATGCAAATGTGGCTGGGACTCTCAGGAGGGCACTGGTGGTCATGAGAACAGGGTGGCACCTGTCCTGAGCAGGAGCGGGACAGCAGGTGTGGACCCAATCTGCTGGGCTCTGCAGCCCCCACCTCTGCTCCTGCCCTGTCCCAGCAGCCAGGCATGGCCCTGTCTCTGTGGGGCCCTCTTCTCTCCAGGGAAGCCGGCCACCCAGGCCATGACTCTTTTCAACCCTGTCAGAGATACTCAAGACATCAACAGCAGGACTGGGATGTGTTTATGAAAAGAACCCAAATCCTAGCTCAAGCCACAGGCACAAAGCACAGCCCAACACACAGGCCTGACAAGGGGCAGGGCGAGGGAGTGTGGCCCTGGCGGCAGCTGGAGAGGGCACTGCTGGAGTATGCCCAGGAGGAGCTCGCCAGTGCCAGGGCAATGGGACAGGAGGGGCAAGCCAAGTCCGAGCCCCCAACGTAAAGGAAGCAGCAGCCATGTTTCCTTTACATCGTCTTGGTATTTCCAAGCAGGCAGCGTAACATCTTTACACACACACGCACACACACGCGCGCGCGCGCACACACACACACACACACACTCTCTCTCTCTCTCTCTCTAAGTCTATCTGCCTGATAGCTTCCTTCAGGTCTGGATTCTACCTCTGACCTTCTTTGTCCTGGCAAGCTTGTCCTCCCCTCCGGCCTGCCAGGGGCATACTCTGCATGCTCACTTTTATACTCCAAGGTCCTTAACTTCAAAGAGAGGAGGGGACACACACACACGATCTATTTTAAGTCTATCTGCCTGATAGCTTCCTTCAGGTCTGGATTCTACCTCTGACCTTCTTTGTCCTGGCAAGCTTGTCCTCACCTCCAGCCTGCCAGGGGCATACTCTGCATGCTCATTTTTATACTCCAAGGTCCTTAACTTCAAAGGGAGGAGGGGACAATCTAGAAAGCTGGCCAAAGTGAGATGCAACAGTGGGTTCCAGAGATGACCACAGCCCAATGCAGGGTCTGATCTGCAGGCTGCACTGGCCCCATGACCACAGCCCTCCCTGCAACTGGGGCTCACCCTCTCCATGTCCTCTGCACAGCGCCCCTACAGGCCAGGCAGCACTGGGTGAGAGGGAGGAGGGGAGGCCCCAAATCAGGGTGACTCTGCCCAGCTTCAAACACTCCCACACACCACAAGGTCTCACCTTTGAATGCAACCTCCCAGCGACCTTCCAAGGAGCGGTTCCGGCCGGTGATAACATACTGATAGCCAACCCACAACCTGCAGGGCACAGACAGAGACAGAGATCTCAGCGGCAGGAGGGATGCAGCCATCAATGACTGTGTTTTCTGTTTTTCGTTTTGTTTTTTTTTTGAGACCGACCTTGCTCTGTTGCCAGGCTGGAGTGCAGTGGCACGATCTCGGCTCACTGCAACTTCTGACTTCCTGGTTCAAGCAATTCTCCTGCCTCAGCCTCCCAAGTAGCTGGGATTACAGGTGCCCGCCACCACGCCTGGCTAATTTTTGTATTTTTTTTTTTTTTTCCAGTAGAGATGGGGTTTCACCATATTGGCCAGGATGGTCTCGATCTCCTAACCTCATGATCCACCCGCCTCAGCTTCCCAAAGTGCTGGGATTGTTTTTTAATAGCTATACTGACCTCCAAAACACTGAGCTTCTAACAAGAGACACTCATGTCACAATGCATTAAAATTCAAAACAAGGAAGTTCACAGGGCAGGAAAACTTTTTTCTCAGGGAACTCTTGCCAAGACTGTTTCTATGAGCTGAACCGATAAAGCTTTCACAATTTAAGCAAGAACAATCTTATTCTTGGTAGACATGAAACCCCATGAATACAACTCTGTGACTGTGCTAAAACCACAGAACAGGGCACTCCACATGGGTGAGTTTCATGGCATGTGAACTGCATCTCAATAAAGACATAAGCCCCTGCAAATATCTACTACCATGGAGGCTGAAAACACTTGCATGGCTTCCTGCTCAGAGCCAGCCTACCTCAGGCCTGCAGCCTGCTCCTGAGCACGCAGGCCTAGTATTGAAGGGACCTTGCACTGGGAGCTGGTTGACTGCCATAAGCTCCTGCCTAGTCTGCACCCCTTGGCTCAGCTATCCAGCCCCAAGCCTGGAGATGCCCATCAGCAGGTCTCCCTGCATGGCAGGAGCCCAGGGATGGCACACTCAGCCCTTGGCCTGTGCTGTGCAACCACACGGCTGTCCTCAGAGACGAGGCTGCCCTGCCCTCTGGGATATGCCCTCTTGCTTCTCCACTGGACTCACAGGTCTGTCTTCAGGGGTCAGTACAACAACCTGTGAGCTAAGAGTTAGTTTCCGCCCTTTGTAGCTGCAGAAGGAGAAACAACTCCGTCTTGTGATTTGCCAAAGTCACACAGGGCACAACTGTGGAGTCAAAACCCAGCTTAGGTCTTGAAGCGAAGGACCCCTTGCTTTCTCAGGGGGAACCTCCACCTACTGCACACCCCTCACATCAGGCCCAGAAGCCCCACACCAAGCAGCTCTCTCCACACAAGCCAGCAACCCCAGGTCCCCTGCCTGCCCTTAGCAACTGCAGCTGTACACACACAGGGGGACCAATGAAAGGGGCGACCCCACAGTCCCACAAAGTAGCAGCAGAGTCCAGCCCGCCCCTGCCCCCAGGCCCCTCCACCGATCTCAATGCACACTCCAACCCATGGATCTCCTGGGCTTCCAGTGGGCGAGCTGGTCTTCCCAACCTGCTGTCTGCCAGCTGTGCCCCAGGAGAGGAGTTTACTGAGTGGTCAGAGGCCATGTGCTCAGTAGTCATCAGACTCTGACTCCAGGCTCCCCAGGTCCCCAATCCAGGACTCACTTGCGCTGGTCCTTCCAACCAAAGCTCCGCTCCGGCTGGTCCCATTCCTGGGCCAGGACAAAGCGCAGCTCCTGGTCAGTGGAGAAGGTGGCGAGAGAGCCATTCAGGCGCTGGCAGGTCTGCGCGGCATCCCAGTAGTTCTCCCCGCTCAGGTAGACCCTGTAGCAGCTGGCCGTGCCTTCGTAGTGGTGCCACCCTGTTGGGCACTTCCCTAGGAAACATAAAGGACAGAAGGGGAGTTGTCCCCCAAGTTAGGATCCAGCTCCAAAACGCAAATTCTATGTGCTCCATCAGGGACAGGCACACCTTGTAAATCACCCTAAAGAAGTGGGGAAACTGAGGCTCAAGAGGACAAGCTCTGCTTCTGAAACCACATTGCAGAAATGCTCAAGTTTCTCTAAAACACAAATTCAATGATACAAGTACATTTGGTGACTCCTCCCATTTCTGTAAGATCTTTTAATTTATTCACTAGTCAAGAATGGCTGCTGAATTATGTCTTGTAAAGCGGATTTCATCCCCTGGGTTAACAACACAGCACAACACCCATGCAGTTCACTTTGGGCCCTGCTTCCAATGCCCAGCTCTCCTGGCCTCCGCTGCCAGTTAGCCCACTCCCCTCTCTTCCTTTTCTACTTACATGAGCATTTGCAGTGGGGGCTGGCCAACCCTCCACTAAAACAGCAGCTCAAAGGATAACAGCTGGGAGGGCCATGACACTGTGTAACTCGCCCCCGCCTCCCAAAGGCAAACAAAATAAGGTGTGGGCGATGCCACAGCTGACAAAGCTGAGGAGCCAGCCAGCACTTGAGTACCAATGAGTCTGGCCAGCGTCTTCTCACTTCCCCCACCCATCACTTCCGACTCCTACACCTACACATGGGAATGCCTGGTAATTTACAGCTCACCCTAGGTAACATCAGTGATCTGTTTTACAGAATCTTTAACCTTCAAATGTTGGGTACCTCATGTTAGTATACTGGAGAAGAGTAACAATTGTTAGCAAAGCCAGCTGTAAAATTAAAAATGCCATTTTTAAAGTGCATCTATGTCTTCTGGCACTAGTAAAACTTCTAGAGACATATCGTCATGTATTTATTATGTAAGCATGTGTGTGTGTGACGCCTTCACAAAGGCACATAGATTACAGAAAAGGAGGGGCAGCCCTGGCCCCTAGGCATGGCCACAGCTGGAGAGCATGATCTGCTCACCGTGAAGGGTACACCTGAGTGTGCAGGGAAGCTATTTAGGTGCAGACAAGGAATCAGAGGGCTGGGCACAGTGGCTCATGCCTGTAATTCCAGCACTTTGGGAGGCCGATGTGGGCAGATTGCTTGAGCTCAGGAGTTTGAGACCAGCCTGGGCAACAGGGAAACCCCCTATCTACAAAAATACAAAAAATTAGCCAGGTGTGGTGGGGCACACCTGTAGTCCCAGCTACTCGGGAGGCTGAGGTTGGAGGACCACTTGAGCTCAAAAGGCAGAGGCTGCCTGCAGTGAGCCAAAAGTGTGCCACTGCACTCCAGCCTGGGTGACAGAGTGAAACCCTGTCTCAAAAACAAAAAACAAAACAAAACAAAACAAAACAGTAAAAAACCCCATGGCATCAGCTCTCGAGAAGGTGTGGTGCGCATTCATTGTGTGTTTCCTGGGTGCCACACCAAAGCGTGTAGCCTGACCACATTCCCCACAGGTGGCTCTGCACCGTCTCCATGGAAAGGTGAGGACGCCGAGGCAGGCAGAGGCCAGGCCCCTATTTCATGCAAGGTGAGAGGAAGTCCTGTAGGGAGGGAAGCTGGTTGGAGCATGGAGGGAAGGAGACCTCCCAGGAAGAGAGCCAGCTGGCTGGGGCATGGAGGGAGGAAGTGCTCCTGTGCACTGACTCATCTTCTTTATGTTCGGAACTTGGAGGAGTTGCTTACTACCCAGGCAGAAGTGCTGCCTGTTCAACACTGAACAGACAGGCAAGGGGAAGGAAGAATAGGGAGCCAAGCATCAGGACCCCCTGGGGCTGCACTGTGAACTGCCCCTTCCCTACAGGCATCCTCTCAGTCTCAGTGCCCTCACACACCAAGCCTGTGCACCACACTTCCACTGTGGGGACCCCTTCAGGCTGTGGGCATAGGCTGGGGACAATGTGCATCACCAGGACTTTTGTTCAGCCCTGCTTCAGCTGCACGGACATGCATGACCACCTGGAAACACCTGGCCCCACTCTGGGCACCCAGGGTTGGTGGGGGTTCTGCCAGAAGCCTACCTGGTCACCTCTGAGGTGCTCCCCAGTGCTGAGAGTCTGGGGGCTGCGGAGTAACACTAGCAGACAGGCCCAAGGCAGGGCAGCAGGCCCAGCCAGTGTCAGTCCTGCCTGGCCCACAGCTGCTGCTCAGCGTACCTGGGCACCTCACGCCTGAGTGGGTCTGTTCAGGGCCATTTCAGCGGTGGCTTTTCCTCCCCTCAACCTTCCTTGATGATCTTACGCCCCTTTAAAATTTCAATGTCATAGGTAATTTATTAAATAACTAATCATCTTAAAAATTTTTCTTAAAATGGCCGGGAACAGTGTGGCTCATGCCTGTAATCCCAGCTCTTTGGGAAGCTGGGGTGGGTGGATCATCTCAGGTCAGGAGTTCAAGACCAGCCTGGTCAACATGGTGAAACCCGGTCTCTACTAAAAATACAAAAATTAGCCAGGCATGGTGGCACGTGCCTGTAATCCCAGCTACTCGGGAGGCTGAGAGAGGAGAATCACTTAACCTGGAAGGCAGAGGTTTCAGTAAGCTGAGATTGAGCCACTGCACTCAAGCCTGGGTGACAAAAGCGAGACTCTGTCTCAAAATCAATCAATCAATCAATCAATCAATCAATCAGGAGTCAAGCCTTCCCATTCTATCAGCTGTACCTAAACTCAGAGCTGGTTTCCCCATTTATAAAAGGGAATAATACAACTTTGGAATTTCCAAGGGCCAGTGCCTTCTGGCCCTGAAAGGCAGTCACTTTGTGAGAACAAGCAGCCTGGTTTCAGAGCCGGCTGATTTCCCAGGGTCTTGAGTCACATACCACCACTCCAAAGCTGGGCAACTGCTGGTGGGTCATTCATTCCCCCCACTGGCCTCCAAGGGCTGTTTTGAGAAACCCCTCAGGCAGCACAGTAGCGCTGGAGAGGCAGGGGTCGTGTCAGGCTTGCACTCCCCAGTGTCCCAGTCAGGGCAGGTCTGCAACTTACTGCTGAAGCGAACGGGCTGTGCCACATTCACTGCGTGGAAGTGCGTAGGGTCGCCTCCTCTGGTCCGCCCCTGCCGCGGATCCACAGCCTCCTTCCCATGGTGAGGACGCGCCTCCCCCGTCACTTCTGAAAGCGAAAGGAGATGTGTGCTGTGAGTCCTGCCTGTGCAGTCGCAGCCTCCCTGGCCAGCACGGCTCAGACTACTCAGGGCTGCAAGACTGGAGGGAGGGTCTGTAGCACAGAGTCCAGCAATGCAGGCTTTCTTTAGAGCCCTATGAAACGCTGCTGCTCGCATCAAATGGGTCCCCTGTGCTTCTTATTAAAATTATGCTCTGGTAGTTTTTGTTTTTTAAGTTACTATTGTGAAATGGAGGCCCTCTTCATTGCATTTTCTAACATGTCATTGCTAGCACAGCAAAGGGTCCTGCATAAATTAAAATCCCTCAGCAGCTCCAGTCCTGTGGGGATGGCCCACGAAGGAGTTCTCTCCAGAGCCCAGGCTGCCCCTGCCCCTTCCTCGAGGGCCTTCTCTCCCAGTACAGAGACCCACATGTGCAACCTTCCTCTGCAGCCCTTGTCCTGGGGCCTGAGCTGCCTGTCTGTCCCCCTGCCTGCTGGTCCCCCAAGGCTGTGAAAGCCTCCAGGCCAGGACCTCAGTATGTTCCTGTCTGGCTCTTTGGTGCTTGGCACAGGCCCTGGTGTGCAGCAGGTCTCAGTGCATGGTTAGAAGGTGTGAACAGGCAGCTGAAGATGGGGAAATAACTATAGTTTCATGCAGCATGATCTAATAGTAATTTGCACACCAGTCCTTCCATCCACATACGCTCTCTTTTGTCCTCCAACCCCCTTGTGAAAAAGGAGAACCACGCTCCTCCTGTCTCACAAGGTGAGGGGCAGACTCAGAGAAGGGAAGTGACTTACACAAGGTCATGGTACAGGGAAGAGGGCCCTCATGGGCCCACCCACCTCCCACTCTGTCTGTACAGGTGTACCTTGATGCATCATGAAGGGCATTGGGTACAAGGTCAGGTCAGATGGGCAACAAACTTGGTCTGCAAGGCTGCACACAGACAGACGGCTGCCAGCAAGTGCGCTCTGACTGCAGATGGCTGAGTGGGGCCTCAGCTCCCCAAAGGAGGTCACAGGGAGGGTTAGGAGGCCTCCTGCAAAGCCTCCTTCCCTGACCCTGAGCCGGCGGTCAGCCTCACCTGACAAACCCCTCTCCAGCAGGTTGGTTCTGCTGGTGTCATAGACTTTGCAGTGGTTTTTATTTAATAAAAAATCTACATGCTTTTTTTTCTCACGATAAAGTAACAAACATTCAATGTGAAATGCTTGAAATATACAAAAGTTTGAAAAGACAATAAACAACAAAGGCCATACTTAACTATGTGAGCATCTGCCCCCTCACCCAGTCTCTTTTCTACACAAATCTTTAAGAATACTGGGATCACATCAGACACTCCATTTCACGACTTGCTTTGTAAGCTTAAGATTATAAACAGCTTTCTATATTTTTAAATGGGTTTAGGAACATGACTTTTGATGGCTGCATAGTATTCCATGAATGGATTTCTTTCGTTCCCATAATCTCTATGGTTTAAGGTTAAGCTGTTTGCATTTTTTTCATTATTCTACAAAAGGCTGCCTTGAACACCTTGTACATAAGTCTGTATGTAGTCCTATTTCTGAGACTCTGGATACTCACTCAGTACTTGATAAGCATAGTTCCATAGCTCCTGTCAGGCATGTGATGGGGATAGGTTGTTATTCGACTGGGAATCACTAAAATACAAAATACGCTACCTGTGTCCAAGATACCTTCAACACAAAGTGAAGACCTCAAAGGGAGAAGCATCTTCAAGGCTTGTGTTTTTTGGTAGAGGTGCCTTTGGGGTATTTTACCACTCCAAAATACAACCTAAGGACCTCAGTGTGGGACAGTACCTGGCACCATGACAGGCTTGATGCTGTAAACACGCAGTACTGGGGGACCATCAGCTCTTCAGGACTGGTCCCATGTCCTGAGCCATGCTACCTGCAGCACCCGACACTCTGGGCAGGAGACCCAACCCACAGACTCGCTGGTAGCTCCGATGCAGGGCAGGGCTCGCAGGGATGCAGCCACTGGGATGGGGCATCAGCACGCAGTGGAGAAGGGAAGAGCCACCTGAGCTTCTGAGGAGCTGGACCTGAGACTGGAAGCTGAGAAAGAACCGAGGGGCTTCCTGGCAGATGGAGCAGCTTTGGCAAGGGGCAAAGGCAGACACATCTGGGACAAACCTGAGGCCAGGCCTGGGTGTCGCTGGAGAATGTCACTGAACTTAAATTCAAAATCTCCCTCTGCTTAAATGGGTAAGACCTGTGGCTCCACTTTGTATCGTGGCCTCTTCCCCAAGCCAAACACAGTACCTGGTAAAACTGCTCACAGAAAGACAAGATGAATTGAGGGCAGAGGAAAGGGAAGAGAAAGAAAAGGTAACAGAGGGAGAGTGCTGCCAGGTCACATGGATGCCAAAGACCAGGTTGTTACATGTTGACTGAGTGAAGCCATCTGTCCCCTGGGGTGGGAGACCAGGTGAAATATTTCAGACACATAACCAGAAAGACAAATGGTGATAAAGGATAATACTCTGTTGAGCAGGCTCCTCTGGGTTCAGGTGGCGATTGTGAGCCGTTTCTTTTCTCCATCATGTGTCTTTATATATAAATGCTCACATTCATCCCCTCACCCCCATAATTATTCAATGCCCATTCTGGGCCCACCATGGAAAAATGCCAGCACAGACACAGGCCTTTGCCAGCAAGAAGGGGAAGAGCTTGGCTATCAAGATGATGCTGATGGCGGACAGTGTCCTGGGGGAGAGTCTGGGGGCCAGGCTGGGGAATGAGCACAGCACAGGACAGAACCCTTACAGACCTCTCAGGACTGCCTCTGACAGTAGAGAATGTCCCTCTTCCTGTGGAGGGCCAGCCTTTGGTGTGCTGAGGGGCCTCCTCCACTTCCACCAGGGCCACAGGGCCCTAGCAGCCCCACCTCACAGCCCAGCTGGGGACGTGGTGCAGGGGTCACTGCAGCACCCAGAGCCACATCTGTTCTGACTCTAGGCCCCATGACCTGTGCAGCTCGGAGCATATGTGCCCCTTCTGCCTCCAGCACCACTGGCGTGCCAGGCTGCTGCTTCCCCAGCACAGGAACACACTGGAGAACAAGTTCAACAAGGAAACAGAATCAGGGAGAATACCTGGAATACCACTCCACAGACTATTTATTCACAAATTACTTTTCGTCACAAAAAGGGAAAGAAATATTCACAACAGTGATTAAAAATAACATCACCAATAATGAGACAAAATGACCTTGGGCCTCGTGATTTGATAATTGATGACTTACATAGTATTGCTAACTAAAAAGTAAAGTCTCACCTGAAGCTAATCATGAAGAAAGAGACAAGTCCAAATGGAAGGCCATTCTACAGAACAACTGACCTGGACTCTTCAAATATGGCAATGTCATGAAAGACATCCCACGCTCCCTGTAAAAGAGGGCTGGGAATACTTCTAGATTAAAGAACAAAGCAATACGGCAATAAAATACTTATGTAATCCTTGAATAAATCTTGAATTAGGCCAGGCGCAGTGGCTCACGCCTGTAATCCCAGCACTTTGGGAGGCCTGAGGTGGGCAGATCACAAGGTCAAGAGATCAAGACCATCCTGGCCAACACGGTGAAACCCCGTCTCTACTAAAAATACAAAAATTAGCTGGGCGTGGTGGCAGGCGCCTGTAGTCCCAACTACTCGGGAGGCTGAGGCAGAAGAATTGCTTGAACCCAGGAGGCAGAGGTTGCAGCGCGCTGAGATCACACCACTGCACTCCAGCCTGGGCCACAGAGTGAGACCAAAAAAAAAAAAGTGAAAACAAAATGTTGTGCCAATAAAAAGAAAATGGAGTGCTCCTGCATGGCCCAGCTAGGAGCAGCACTGAAAGCAGGCAAGACCTCACAGAGCACAGGGCCCAGACTGAGCCACCAGGCTTAGGGAAGAATCAGCAGAGAAGGCCTAAAACCATGGAATTTAAAGACGCAGATAAATACCAAATGCAACAGCTAAAACAATGTTTGCCTTGAAAATTAGAGGGGTTCACTGGGTTTGCCATTAAAAAAAAAAAGATTTACAGAACTATTTGAATATTCAAATTGTATGCATAAGTAACTTGAATAAAGATAAAACTAAAAATTGGAAGCAGACAATCAAAATCAGTTCCTCTTTGGATCTGGGTGGCCCTACCCCACCTTTTTTTCACATCAGAGCTGCCACTGAGGGGTCTACTGCTCTGATTCCTGATCCTTTTATTATGACCCAGGTTTCCCGCTAGAGGGTTTGATGTCCTCTGCATTACCAATGTTCCGCAACTGCACAAGGAGGTAATTTGTACATGCCTCTTTTAAATTATTGTGCTAGGCCCTTCCAGTCCAAGGCTGCAATCTTTCATTTCTGGGAGATTTTCTTACATAACTTCTTTGCTAATTCCCTCCTACTCCATCTCCTCTATTTTCTTTCAAGGAATTTGTATTAATCAGATATTGGATTTTCTGAATTCATTTTTAACCACTTAAGAGTGCACAGTTGGGCTGGATGTGGTGGCTCACGCCTATAATCCCAGCACTTTGGGAGGCCAAGGCAGGCAGATCATGAGGTCAGGAGATCAAGACTATCCTGGGTAACGTGGTGAAACCCCATCTCTACTAAAAATACAAAAAATTAGCTGGGCATGGTGGTGGGCGCCTATAGTCCCAGCTACTCGGGAGGCTGAGGCAGGAAAATGATGTGAACCTGGGAGGTGGAGCTTGCAGTGAGCTGAGATGGCGCCACTGTACTCCAGCATAGGCGACAGAGCAAGACTCCCTCTCAAAAAAAAAAAAAAAAAAAAAAGAAAAGAAAAAAGAGTATACAGTTAAGTGTCATTAAGTACCTTCACATTAGTTCCATAACCATCACCACCATCCATCTCCAGAACTTCTTTTCATCTTACCAAACATTGTATCCGTTAAACATTACCTCCCGATTTTTCTCTCCTCCCAGCCCCTGGCAACCACAATTCTACTTCCTGTATATTTGCATTTG